CCTTCGATGTGTGGAGGTGCGGTTTCTAGAAGCTCTAGGTCAGAGCTGGGTGCACTCTGAGTCCCAGTGGGAGTCTCCAGATTGCTCTCTGAGGCTCTGTCAGTGCTTGCGAGTAGCGGCCCCTCTGCCCCTCTGCCCCTCTGCCCCTCTGCGTCCCAGCCCCAGCCCGTCCTGAGGCGTCAGGGCTGCTGCTGAGGCGGCTTCAAAAGCCCCTTTCACTGTGCGCCTCAGCATTTTTCCCCAGGTGAGTAAGGATGAACTTCTGTATGTGAAAGACATGTTTGTTTATTTCTCTATGCACTTTATACCTTTTTCCTATTGTTGAATCTCTTAAAAGGATTATTGAGTGTTTTTACATATAGTTTTTCAGTGTTGCAAATATTTATTGCTATTTTGTCACTTTTTAAACTTTGGTTATGGTATTTTTCTATGTAAAAAGTTTTAATTTTTACGTAGCCAAATTTGGCATTCTTAATTAGAGGTCGAAATAACCTAATGACAAAAAGAAACAGATCTAAGTGTGTTATCTTTCTTAGAACATCCTCTTCCTCGATATTTTTTTTTGAATACATTTTATTGATTATGCTACTACATTTGTTCCAGTTTTCCTCCTTTGCCTCCTTCTACCCGGTACCCCCCACACCAGCATTCTCTCCCCCTTGGTTCATGTCCATGCATCGTGCATGTGAGTTCTTTGCCTTCTCAATTTCCCACACTGTTCTTAACCTCCCCCTGTCTATTTTGTACCTACCATTTATAAACATTTTTATTTACTTTTAGTTTTAGAGAGAAGGAGAAAGAGGGAGAGAAACATCAATGTGTGGTTGCCTTATATGCACCCCCTACTGGGGGGACCTGGCCCACAATCCAGGCATGTGCTCTGACTGGGAATCGAACCAGCAACACTGGTTTGCAGGCTGGCACTCAATTTGCTGAGCCACACCAGGCCCTGTGTGGCTCTTAATTCCTGTGTCTTTTCCCCATTCTTCCCCCCACACTGCTGATAACCCTCCAAGTGATCACCATTTCTTTGATTCTATTTCTGCTCTGCTTGTTTGCTAAGTTTCTTACTTGCATTGAATTATTGATGTTTAGTACCACTTTACTGTTCATAGTTCTGATCTTCTTTTTCTTAGATAAGTCCCTTTAACATTTCGTATAATAAGGGCTTGGTGAAGGTGAACTCCTTTAACTTGACCTTGTCTAGGAAGCATTTTATCTGCCCTTACATTCTAAATTAAAGCTTTGCTAGGTAGAGAAATCTAGGTTGTAGGTCCTTGCCTTTAATGTCTTCAAATACTTCTTTCCAGCCCCTTCTTGCCTGCAAAGTTCCTTTTGAGAAATCAGCTGACAGTCTTATGGGCACTCCTTTGTAGGTAACTATCTCCTTTCCTCTTGCTGCTTTAAGATTCTCTCTTTATCTTTAATCTTTGGCATTTTAATTATGATGTGTCTTGGTGTGGTCCTGTTTGGGTCCAGCCTGTTTGGGACTCTCAGTGCTTCCTGGACTTGTAGGTCTATTTCCTTCACCAAATTAAGGACATTTTCTTTCATTATGTTTTCAAGTAAGTTTTCAATTTCTTGCTCTTCCTCTTCTCCTTCTGGCACCCCAGTGATTCAGATGTTTGTATGTTTGGAGATGTCCCAGAGGGTACTCATACTCTCCTCATTTTTTTAAATACTTTTTTCTTCCTGCTGTTCTGACTGAATGCTTTTTCCTTCCTTGCATTCTAAATCACTGATTTTGATTCTCAGCTTCATCCCCTCCACTGTCGGCACCCTGTGGGTTTGTCTTTATTTCACTTCATGCAACCTCGGTTTCAGCCTGGGTGTTTTTGTGGGGTTGCAGTGCCCCGTGAGTTCTCTGAGCATCCTGATCGCCAGTGCTTTGAAGTCTGCATCTGATAGGTTGCTTATCTCTGTTTCGTTTAGTTATTCTGGGGTTTGGTTCTGTTCTTTCAGTTGGGCCATGTTTCCTTGTCTCCTCGTTCTGGCAGCCTCCCCGTGTGTGTGTCTGTGTATTTGGTGGGGCTGCTTTGACTCCCAGTCTTGGTACATCTGAGAAGTTGTGTGGGGCGGAGCCTTAGGTGATTGCCAGGGCGAGACAACTCATGTCTCCGCCCTGTGGCTGTATGTAGCGGGGGGGGGGGGGCTCACAGGGGACAATGCTGCTGCCTGCCCCTTGGAGTTTTCCCCAGGGGGAAGCTGTTTCCCCACTTCTCTTTGTCCCCGTGTGCCGCTGGTGCCCTTCCAACTGATGCTGTGGTGCTGACCCCAGAGGGAGTGGGTCTGTGTGAGTTTCAAGTCATTGCGGGTGCTTTAAGAGGACCCAGTTTCTTCTGCTGCCCCAGCCATCACTGGGCTTTACAGCCAGAACTTATGGGGACTTATCTGCTGGGACCCTGGGCTGTGTGGTCTGGCCTGGGGCTGGGATCCCTCCCTTCGGAGGTGTCCCTTCCAATCTTCTCCTCTACCACACGTGGGTGTGGGACTGCCCATCCACGCCTCTGCCCCTCCTACACTTCTGGAGGAGTGTGGCCTCTTTAAGTCCTTGGTTGTCAGACTCCCACACAGCTCTGTTTTCTGATGGGTCTGCGTGATGTTTGTTTCATAGAGTAAATGTGTGTTTTGATGTAGTTGTGTATGGAGGTGACGCCTGTTTACCTGTGCCTCCACCTTGGCCAGAAGTCAGGATTAGTATATTCTCATACTGTCCATGTATTTGTCAGTGCTGTGCTGTGTATGTAAATAAACGTGAGGTTGATCAGGAGTCTGTTTCGATGTGACGACTTGGGGATACGATGTCATCTGTCTAGCCCACTCAGCCTTTCAGCACTATGTATTTCTCTGTAGCTTTGAGGTGGCAGCTGGGTCATGGGTCTCTTCCTAGAGACCTCTGACCCCAGTGTGTCTGGGCACGCTCAGCCTTTGTTGACCTAGGTCAGAGTGTGTCCCAGAGTGCTGTGTGTGGTGACTTAGGAGGTGTATGGAGGAGCATCTCAAATGCCTAGTGGCGTTTGCTCCAGTGTCTGGTCTGCCACGTCCCTTAGGCGCTTGTTTGTGGCAAGACCGGCCTGGGAGCTTTGTGGTGAGCCAGGTGTTCGGGCTTGTGTCAGCTTCTGGGGGCTGCCGGCTGGGCGTGCACGCACAGCGTGGGCTCTCTGTGGCCTGGCCTGTTTGCTCGGGTGGATCCCTGTGCACAGGGCCTCCTGGGCGCTGCTTCAGGTCTGCCGGTCTCTGTCCGCCACGTGGCGAAATGCCCCTGTCAGACGTCGACTGTGTCTGCTCGTGTGAGCCGCATGCAGGTGCTGGTGATTTTGAACTCGGGTCGTGCTTCTGCCTTCGTTTTCTGGCACCTGACTGCTGGGCCTGACGTGGGTCGGGGGAAAGAAACACGGTGTCATTTCTGAATGCTGCCTCATACATTCAGGCACAGAGGGTAGTCAGAGTCACCATCATTTGTCCACGTGTCCAGTGAAGACCACAGTGATGGCCCACTGGGACATGCTTCCAGTCTTGTGCCCTTAATCAGCTGTGCCGAAAACAGCAGCCAGCACGGGGCAGGTGTTGAAATCTGGTTAGGAGGCCGTCTGAGCAGAGGGAGCCCCTTGTGGGCAGAGTCCTGGTGAGAGGCTGCCACTCAGGCTTCATGTGGCAATGACAAGGCACATGCCTCCCAGACCCCGCTAAACTCTCAGGAACAGTAGGAAGGACTGCTCAGTGGCCTGAAAGCACACCCACACGGCGATGGCAACAGTGTGAGACTATGAGGACTGGGGATGGAGCCGAGGGCGCGGTGGGTGAGGTCCCGGGGAGGGCGGCCTTCTCACACAGTCCTTCGCTGTCAGTGAGCCTGCGGCCTAATAAACAAGCTCTGAGAACATGTGCTAACTCATCAGCTAGAGGAGATCTTTTAAAGTCTGCAGGCAGACTTTCATGACAAACTAATGCAGGCGCACACGTGGTATCATAGGAAAAGCAGACATGGTTCAGATCGCCACAGAGGTTCCACGTGGGGTTCAATCTGGTGTGCCCCTATACCAGAACTTGACCTTCTGGACCCACAGGCAGTCTGTAAACTGCACAAGTGCAGGACTAGTGAGGAGGGATCAGCACCCAGTCAGGCGTCAGTGCAGGTGGCGGCTTCATCCTGCAGTTCTGTGACATTGGTGCCCCTCCCCGCCCCATGCCAGAAGCAGAGGATGTTCCCTTGGCTGTTACTGCAGGAGGGTTGCCAGGTCTCTGTGGGTAAACCTTTCACCCAGAGCCACGGAATACATGCCTTGACTATGGGGAGGGAGTCGTATTTTGCATGCTGCATTCACAGAGTTAAGAGTGAGGTGCATGTGAGTGTGGTGAACGGCTACAGGCCCTTCCGCCACCCCGGAGAGACTCCTGTGCAAGACCAGTGTGCGAACGTCACTGAGTGAAAGGGCGCGTTCGGGAAGTCAGGCCTGTCTGCTTTCTGACACAAAGGTTTGTCGAACCAGATTCCCATTTTTTATTTAGTTCCCTCTACATACCAAATAACTTTTATCAAAATTTAGTTTTACTAATCATGAAAAAAATTTCTTTTGCAAATACATTTTAAAGTTTGGTAGCAATAGAGAAATGGACTTTCCACTTCCAAAAATGGAAGTTTTTGTTGGATGGTTGGCGACACCCCGGGCAGCTGTTAGAGCTGATGCAGGAGGAGGACGCGCTGCTCAGGGCACCTCACCCCCCCCCACACACACACACACCCCGGGGCTGCTCTGTCCTCACAAGCAGGGTGTCCGCTGCACTCCAGCCTCCTTCCCTGTCCTGTTTCACTTGGAGGTGTTTGTGTATAAGAAATCAGGTTTTATTCTGTAGAAACTGCCACAAAGTACTGACTTGCATCAGATCTAGGACCTCTCATTTCTCCGATTTCTCATGAAGTTGAACAGTTTGATTGGATGATCTGTAGAAATATTTTTGGGTCCAAGCATTCCATAATGTTTGTATCTCTTTGTGTTTAGGAAGAGAAGGCTTCTCTTCTACATCGAACTCAGGAAGAAAGAAGAAAGAGAGAGGTAAACACAGCTTGGGGACAGTCCGTAGATGGGCACTTTCCCACGTCTCTGAAGTCAGTCTGGGCCTCACTGTTTCATGTGTGGGTGTGTTGAGTGCGATGCATTTTGTGCACATTTATGAACACAGGCATATTGAGCTTCGGGAGCATTTCTGGATTGGTTGTCTCTGACAGCAAGCCATGCAGCCTGAAAGCAGTGGAGAGAGTGGGCAGGATGGGCCGTCTCCAGGACAGGTGGCACTCACAGAGATGCGAGGCTATGTCACCTGTCCGGCGGAGGATCGGTCTTCCTGTCTCTGCAGAGTTTAACTTCTGACTGCTTCATTTTCTGGGTTTGTTTTGTCTTTATGGAAATCTTGGTCTCTGCATCTTCAAAACGAGTAGCATGCAGGAGGTTATTTACAGATGCATGGGAAGTGTGCCTCTTAGCACACAGTAGGCTCTCAGATGTGGTGCCTGCAGTGTTTCAATGATGCTGAAGAACATGGATTTTTGCTTGGTCACTGAAGACAGTCTCGGGTCAATAAAAATTGGAATTTTCTGCTTTGAAACAAGAATGACTTTTAAAATATTTAAAGGCATTTTTAAACGTCTCACTGTGCTGGTGGGGTTGTAACATAATGTAGCCATTTGGGAAGACAGCCTGGCAGCTCCCCAGGTGCTCATTTCGCTCCTGTACTCACCCGAGAGGAGTGACAACCACTCGTCCACGCGAACGCCTGTTCAGGCACATCCACAGCAGCATGATTGCAGGGGCCCGAAGTAGAAACAGCGCACATGTCTGTCAGCTGACCGCCAGTGGGTAGCCGCAACAGGGGCACCCATGCAGTGGGTGTTCATTGGCTGTGAGAAGGACTGGAGGACTGATGGGTGATACCAGGAGGGCGAGTCTCCACACGTCATGCGCAGTGAAAGCCAGCCCTCAAACAGCCACCTGCTCTGTGACTCGTTGTCTGGGGTGGGCGGAGTAGACTGCTGCGTGTGGAAAGCGCATTCCAGGGGTTGTCAGGGCGCAGGAGGTCGGGGCGAGGTGACTGCTGGTGGGCCCAGCTGTTTGGTGAGTGGGCGTCGCGAGTGTTCTGAACTCAGGCAGGGACAACGGGCGCACAGATGTGAACGCCTGTCTGTTAGAGACGGTCGATGGCACACTCGAAAGAGGGGATTGTGTGGTGTGTGAACTATATAGCTGTAATTTCTTTTTATTGTTTTGTTTTGTTTGTTTGTTGGCTGTAATTTTGTTTAAGTCTGTGCTAACCGGATGTCATTTCCCCGACTCTCACTGGCTGCTCTCCTCCTTCAGGAAGAAAGGCGAAGGTTGAAAAATGCAATAATCATCCAGTCGTTCATTCGAGGCCATCGAGACAGAAAACAGCAAGTAAGTCTGTGTATGGCCTGAGAACGCGTTGGAAGGGCACGCGAGAGCTTGTTTTAAATAATGCCTGGGATTCTTAGAAGTGGAATTCATTTTGTGTGGTCTTTAAAAAATATTTTATTTTTAGAGAGAGGGGAAGGGAGGGAGAAAGAGCGAAACATCAGTGTGGGTTGCTTCTCATATGCCACCAACCAGGGACCCTGCCCGCAACTTAGGCATGTGCCCTGACTGGGAATCAAACTGGAAGCCCTTTAGTTCACTGGCCGGCATTCGATCCACTAAGCTCCACCAGCCAGAGTTATTTTCTATGTTTCTTGTACACGCATTTAATGAACATTTATGTTTATAACAGCATGTCCCCCAACAACTAATTTTGTTGGTTTAGATTTATGTAAAGACTTACAGGGAGGTGTGATCCTGTTTTTGTTCGTAAGTAGTCAGATAAAGACAGGCCAGACTACAGCTAGAGATCTGAGCGGGGGCGTGGCAGCAGCCAGTCCCAGTGGGGGTTGGGGGACTGCCCGGCCTTCCCGGGGCTCCGCAGCCGTGGGGTCCCCACTGTCAGCATGCCCCGCTCCCGTGACAGTGTCCTGTGGTGTGCAGACTGCGGCAGGCCCTGCCCCCGCGCTGACCCGTGGTTGCTGTGTCTGCAGTACTCCATCCAAAGAGGCGCGTTCGACCGCTGCGCTGACTCCTCGCAGTCCGGCGGCACTCTCTCTATCGCTAACGGCCCCAGTCTGACCCTGCTGGTGAGGCAGCTTCTGTTTTTTTACAAACAGAACGAAGACTCCAAACGTTTGGTGAGTGTTAACTGCATTTTCACTTGTCCATGTTGACACAATCTTCCGCTTTTAACACACACTGGACAACCTCCGAGGCCCCGTCTTCACAATCTCCCCTTAGCCAGTGGCAGCAGGACGTTCCTGTGCTGGCGGGTGGGACCTTCTTAAAAATCAGTGCAGGTTGTCAAGAGGATTGTTCATTTTTTATTGTGGAAAATTTCACATGCGAGACAAAGTAGAGTACATTTGAGTACACTAGAGTACACTCACACGTGTCTTGGGTCCACTGTGGGCCCCAGACAGTCGTGGATGGCTGCTTTCCCTCCACACCTTCCTCACCTGTGCCCTTCAGATCTGTAAATACTTCAGTAGAAATCCCTAAATTATCGGGTCTCTTTCTTCCTTTTTTTGAAATCCTCACCTGAGGACATGGTACTTGATTTTAGGGAGAGAGGAAAGGAGGAAGAGAGAGCCAGTAAAACATTGATCCGTTGACTCTTGTATGCGCCCCTACCAAGGCCAAAACCGTAACCCAGGCAGGTGCCCTGACTGGAATGCAACCCCAAGCTTCTGGTTCACCAGACAGTGCCCAGCCAGCTGAGTCACACCAGCCAGGGCCGGTACTCTTTCTTAAAACATCCAGAATATAATTGGGCTACTTTAATTTCATAGGCTTCTAGTGCCGTCCACGATGAGGAACAGTGTGTGTTAGTGGGGGGTACACACAAAAGAGAGGTGAATAATGGGTGCCAAGGACAAAGGAATACCAGGTTGCCATCGGGGTTCGGCTTCTGGCCCTGGCACTGCTTCCTGAGTGAGCTCAGCTAGACTGCAGGGAGAACTGGGCCCATGTGGAGAGGCTGACCCTGGCTTCCCCGAGGGCAGGCTCTTCCCACGTCTATCTGAGGTCTAGAAGGGTCAGGAAAGTGTTCCAGCCTGTGGTCTGCTTTCTTGCTGCACAAACGTCCCAGTTTACTGTGCTCCGATGTTAGAGATGTGAGTGGAGCGGTGTCTCCTGGGGCCTCTCTCTGTGGAGCAATGCTGCTGCCCTCTCTGGGCACCAGCAGGGCCCCTCGGGCATCGCCCTCAGCTTCCCCGGGCACAACCATGTAGCCTTGCTTCCGCAGCCCTGCTGCTAGTCCAAGGCAGGTTCTCCCGTGCAGGGTCTCAACACCGGATAGAACTGATGCGTCAGGCCTGGCTGACAGAACAGGAGTGGGCCTGAGCACTCAGTGAGCAAACAAAAGAGCAAGCACAAGCAAACACACGTGGGGCGTCTCCTGCCCAGTCTTCATGTCCCTGATGCCCCCCGCCCCCCCCAGGGGAAGTGGCGCCGCTCCTGGTAGCTTCCCAAGATGCCCTGTGCGCAACTGAGCACGTGCTGCCCCACCCTCACGCCTCCCGCATCTGCTTCAGTGGCATCACATGTCCTCTGCAAGGACAGCGTGCTGCAGCTATGTCCCTTCTGCGCACAGTCCCTTTGCAGATTGTTCCAGAGTTAATGATGGCCTTGCTTCTGCGTAGTTTTCCTGGACTCTCTCACTGAAGTCTCCCTCCACAAGGACTGCCGAATGTGCCTTGGTGCACTCCACCGTGACCGAAGAGGCCTGGCCGCCTGGCTCTGTCTCCCCAGCGGTTCCCAGGGTTGAGCCCCTACCCGCCGCGTCCCACATGGTTGGCCAGTTGCTCTCCAGGCCTTTCTCCTACGAAGGCCTCTGGCTTGGCTTCGCCATCAGGCCCTCCCCACCTCCTGTCGCAGTGCTTCCCTTCTTGACTCCCTTGTTCTGTTGGTGTGTGTCCTTTGTCCACCTCCCAGGAAAGGATGAGTGAGAAGCAAAGTTTTAGAGCTACTCATCCGAGTTTAGTATGTGGCAGAGTTGAGCCAGAGGTTCCCCGTGGTAATGCTGCACTTCTGGCCTGTGCTGGTGCGTTTGTCAGAGCTGTGACCATTTGTCCGAGGCCAGTCCAGAAGGGGCTCAGGGAGAGTGTCGGCCTGCTGCGGGTCCCCTTTATGTCACGGACAACTTGAAACCTTACACTTGATCAGTACGTTCACAACCTTATTCTGGAGTCCCTAGTGTCGCCCTACGGACGTTCACAGTGTTGAGGTGCTGCATGTCCTGTTTTCGTGTGTCGCTAGACGGCCCACGCTGTAGAGCACAGCACAGGCAGGCAGGGCGTCTCTGCATCCCAGTGGTCCCTGAGGAGTGCAGACAGGTGGCCGGGAGCCCTCGGGCTGAACGTGCGCGTGTGCAGGTTGGTGTTGGCGGGGTACAGTTACTCCACCTGGCTTAGGGCACGCTCTAACCCAGGAGACAGACATGCTCGCTGTGGTGGTTTAACTGTGACACAGTCGATGTCACTCAGGTGTGACTCTCGGAGAGAAACCCCTGGAAGATAACAGAGGAAAGGTGCTGTGGCACATTCATGACAAGCTGTATTCAGGAGGCCCTCCTCTCTCTCACTGGTTCTGAATGAGTTCTAGGAACTGAACGAGAAACACATCCACAAACAGTAAAGTGGAGGAGATTTTGGTTAGGCGTTGGGCTTTTAAAATCCCAGGTTGCAGCTGCATCCACGTACACAGGCCTCGTGGGTGCAAGTCAGGTGGGAATCTGGCCGGTACTCGCTGAGCTCGCTGAACGACAACCCTGTGCTGGGGGACAGCAGGTCTGGCCATTGGACCCGCAGCTGACCTTTCCCCAGTGGTGCTGGGCACAGCCGACAGAGTAGACGTGCAAGGTGTGCGCCCTGGTGAGCGTGTGCAGGTGAACACTGTGGAAGGGTCCCCCCACTGGCCGGGTGCACAGCGTCACCTCACGTGTTGCTGCCTGGCCTTCTACTGAGGACAGTGGGGCCAAGAGCATCTCTCCTGCCAGGGTTTTGAGGGGTTGGGGCGGTGGAGGCCCCCCACGGAAGGGCAGTACAGGCACGGGAAGGGGAGCCTGGTGCCCCGGGTGGTGTGTGACTGGCAACGAGGTCCTCCTGGAGCTGGTGTCAGACTGCTGGTGTGCCAGAGGGACAGCTTTGTCCCAGGCCTGTCTGACTGCTGGGTGAACATGGTTTCAGTGGTAGATCAGTCACTTGGCCAGAGGCCGAGAGCCATTCTGCGGAGGACAGCTGGCGGCATGGGTGGGTGTGCCATGCGTAAACCTGCCCTGGAGGACTTGCCTCCCACCATGCCCGCCTGCCTGTTCACCACCCAGGGCATGGGAGGTGTCGCCACAGTGGCGAGCCGCTGGCTGTTCCGGCCGCGGAGCTGTAACGTGTGTGTTTTGCTGTTTCAGATCTGGGTGTGTCAGAACCTCATTAAGCACAGCGCTCTGTTTGTCCAGCAGCTGGACGGATCCGACAGACTCACGTGCTTGTTCCAGATCAAGAGGCTGCTGAGCCTCTGCTGCAGGTGAGTCCCCTCGTGGTCGGCAGTGTGCATGAGCTCAGCGACCGCTCTGGACATCTGGACGAGCAGAGTGCCGTTGGTTTCAGTGTCTGATGTGGAGGGGTTTTGTCTGTCTTTGCTACTGCGGGGCATTCTGTGTGTTACAGTGTTCGCTCCTGGTGAGTCTGGCCTGGGAGGTGAAAATGGAGATTTAGACGCCACGCAGGTGGTGGGCGCCGGCACGATGGGTGGGCCGAGCTGCTGGAGTTCGAGTTTGTCATGTGAGCCTGCCACTAGGCTCCACTGTGCCTACGCGGGAGCTCGAAGTCAGCCACTTCCAGGACTTCTTGGCTTCAGTCTAGGAAATGGCACATCTAAGTCATGTGAGCTCTCAGTACCTAAATGAGTGAGCAGGTGACAGCTCTGCTGTTGTTTTAAATGGTTGTCCCCATCTGAGCAGCAGCGCAGTTTTCAAGTGAATCTGAGCCTTCACTGTCCTTCCGGCTACTTTCCCAGAAGCTGTGTGTAGTGGCGTTTACTTAGGACTGCCATCAGGACTGGGCCTCATTAACCAGTTCTTCCGAACTATGGAGCTGGTCTAGGAAGTAGAGGCCCCGACCTCTACTGGGAGGGAGAGAACCCAGAGGGCGGCGAATCCCAAGAACTCCTAGTTTCTTCTAACCCCTTTGTGTTTGGGAAATGTCTACTTTGAAAAACACGATGTATACACTGTACACTGATTTTCAGTCCGTGGGCCACCAGAACGTCTAAAACACGCCACACCTGGCTGTTCAGTCAGCGGTACTGACCTCTCTTCCCTTAGATTGTCAAGTTAAAAAGTGACAGCGGCCAGCACAACAGCTGTCTGCTGTGAATGAATCCAAATCACACCTAGTTTCTGTCAGATCAGCAAAACACCTTTTTGGGTGGGCTGCAGAGCATTAGTAACTAGTCGTGTGAGCCAAGAGTTGACAAGGGTTGGGACTCACCACCCTAGAGCAAGTGCGGGCAGACTTTTCCATAAACATCCAGACGGTGGCGTCTTAGTCCGTGGCCACCGCCACCCTCCTCTTCACACGGCCCCGGGAGGGCGCAGCGCCTCCTCTCTCTGGGGCCACCCGCTGCTTGGGTCCACGCAGCCCCAGGTCGTCCTTTCTGGGCACCTGACATGCTTCAGAAAGACAGTCACTTAGCAGGTAATTCTAGCAGATGATATATCATTATGTAATTTTTCCTTTCTTCCAACTTCTTACTTTGAAAAGTTTCTGACACCACAGAAGTTGAAAGAACACCTTTACGTTCTCAACCTGGAGTCACAGGTTCACATCTGGTCCCACCGCTTTTTCTCTGCCCTGCACATGGGGCCATTTTTCTGAAGCGTCCGAGAGGATGTTGCAGATGTTGTGCCCCAAGACCAATGACACATGGGCTCCCATGAGGCTTGTCCTTGGCGGCCACTGCGGCGCATTTGTGTGGCACAGGGCCAGGTGGCCCAGTGGCCATCAGCTGGTGCTCGGGGACCACAGGCGGTGGGCCGGGTGGTGGCACTCGCTGGAGGGATGGCCTTGGTTGGACGTGGTGGATCCCAAAGAGGGCCTGCAGCTGAGAGTGTTCACTGTGCGGTTCCTCCCACGTGAAGTGGTAGGAAACTCAAACTAGTCTACGGTGACGGGGGTGGGGGGCTGGCTGCAATAGGAGCTGGAGGGAGGGGTTGACTTGAGGGGCCCAGGGGACCAGTGAGGATGGGTTGTTGCTGTGTCATCTGTCAGGATGTGTCGTGCCTGCATCGGTGCACGTGCGTGGTCGTGTGTGAGCTCTGTGTATGGAAAGTCAATTGTAAGAAAAGACATCGTCTTTATGACTTAATGATGTGACAGCTAACCCTTCCTTCTGCCTAGGGTTTTCATGTAATTCTCTTCAGTCAAAATTACGGGTGACTTAGGGCCAGGAAGCTATGCTAGCTGTCTAGCAGAGGGGACAGGGCAGGGATGGGAAGTTTTGAAGGTGTCTTGGAAGGAGAGAGCAGGGGCCCCTTTAGAGAGGAGAGGCCACATCTGAGCTGCTCCAGGCACAGTCCCCGGGCCTCAACCACTTGCAGCCGCACCCTGGTCCTCACGCTTCCCCGCCGTGCTGCCTTGGCAGTCTCCTGCATCCCGTATCTGTGCTCCCAGTGCCCCCAGTGCCAGCTTGCCTCCTGGCTCACAGCAAGGACTTGCAATATGGGCATGGAGTTGGCTGTGCTCTTGTCTGGGTCGGACCCGTGTTCAGGGGTCTCCTGGCACGAGGACGAAGTGGCTCAGACACTCACCATAGTAGGTGCTGGTGACCCGAGGGGCCTCGGGGTGGCATGTGCCATCTGGTCAGGGTGCGAACACGTCTTCTCGTCCCCACAGGTTACTGCAGAGCTGCAACGACGACAGTTTGAATGTTGCGCTTCCCATGAGAATGCTCGAGGTGTTTTCATCCGAGAACACTTACTTGCCTGTTTTACAAGACACTGGCTCTGTGGTGTCGGTCATTGAACAGATTTTGCACTACATGATTCAGAATGGTAAGTGGGGGCGGGTGGGAGCCAGGGCCGGCCTTGTGGGGTGAGTGTGGCCGCATGCAGGTGTGGCTTCAGACTTTCTCTGAGCAGCACATGTGACTTGGCACAGATGCACTGTGCACAGCTGGGGGAGCGCCTGCTGGGGTCGCACATCCAACCTCTGTCCTCCATTGCCCCAGCCTAACCTTTGAAACGTGCTCAGACTCCTCACTTACCTGCTTCTGGTGCATCGTATAAATGAAGGGAGAACGAGTGCCGCCAGCAGTGGCCCTGGGCACACTGCTCGCATGCTGTCTGCGGGGCTGCGGCCTGGAGACGCCCGCCAGCGCCTGTCCTGCGGAAAGAAGCGTGGAGTCATTACCTTTGTTCTCAGAGGAGAAGGCCACACTGGGCTGGCCAAAAGGTCCATGTGGTTTTCCCTGTAAATACACACCTTTCGTGTTCACGGGGAACTTGATCAGTCAGGATGTTTTGAGTGCGTTGGCTGTCTTCCACATGGTAGAATGTTGATCGTTCTCTATGAATGTCTCAATTCAATTGCTGTCAACTTCACCTGGTCTGGCTGACCGTGGAGGACCATCATCCAGCAAGGAATCTCCCACATGAAACTTTGCAAACTACTTTGACACACTTGGTCAGTCATAACACCTTCTCCATACACTGCAAAAATCTTTTCTAATATTTGCATTTTTACCTTTCTTAAAATGATAAAGCATAGCATACTGAAAAAGTTGCATATTTTCTTTCATCTTCAATATAAAAATAGCTACACAAAATTTCAGTTTCGATAAGTTTTTTTTAATGCACACCAATAGGACAGCTGTCAAAATACAACCTAAGAAAATTGTTTTGAGTGAAGTTAAAGACAACTAAGTGCAACTAGGGCCGTCGTGCGGAAACAACCACATGGGCTTCTTGGACGGCCCAACACTTAGTCCATTTGATTTCCCTTCCTCGCCCAGCGTTAGAGCTTCTTCGAGAGGAGCTGTGCTGCACAGCGCGTGGTCGCCTGGGTCTGAAACACCACTGAGGATACGCCAGTGGCTCTGTTTGGAGAAGGATGGGGAGATCCGTGTGATTTTAGAACGTTTATGATAAACATAATAAAACAAAACACTTAGGACTCTGACCCCCAGTGTTCTCAGAGGCAGGAAGTCAGAGCCCTCGGGGCTTACAGGGTGTTATCATGCTAGAAATAAGTGTCCTCAGGCTCAGGCATAGAACGGACCACAGGTGCTTCTGGGAAAATCAGGAGTGAGTGGGCTTTTGTTTCCTCGCAGGGATGAAGGGATGGGCTGATCTAGGGGCCGTCTAGCCAAGTGGACCCTCAGGGCTAGAGCTGTAAAAAATAAACGGAAATCTTACACATTTCATCCTTAGTGTTTGGCTCAGGTTTTAATGAAAGAAGCGCTACTTAGCTTGATGAAAGATTAGGGAATTAAAAATAAATTGAAATTTGTGGAATTTGGTCTTTTAAATACAAATTATCACAGAACTGGTCCAGTGTGTTAATCGATGTACCAAGTATATTGATTTAAGGCTACCTGTTCAATTAGAATTTTTACTTTTCTCGTTTTCTAGACGTAAAAGGTTAACTAAAATGTGCATTAGTTCGAAATGTGTCTAGGAATTGGAAATGATTCAAAAGCTTGCCCTGAAGCTGCTGCTTCTAGCATGTTCTGTGCTGCAGCCGTTTCTGAGCTGCTTTCGGTAGGGGCTCCTGACATCCTTCGTCTGCAGAAAATCCCGAAGGCTGTCTGCTCTGGCCCCTCCTGTTAGCGGGCCTCACCTGCGGTGACGGGGCACTGTCTCACCTGCAGCAGAGCTCGACACCCTAGGCGTGCTCCGCTCAGTCTGCTTCCCGAGTACCTCTTCACGTGACTGTGAAGAGGGTGGTGACACCTTTAGAAACTGTTTTTGTACTTACCCTGTTGTGTTCCACTGCTCGTCACCGCGCATGGGGTCAGAGGTGGGCGGCTGACAGTGGGCCTCACAGCGGAGGGTGCAGCAGGCACCACGTAGTGGTCGGAACACCAGTGCGCAGCAGGTTGGGCTGTCCTCAGAAACGAAGCAGGCAGGTAGTGGCTGCTCACGGCACCAGTGGTGTGTCTGGACAGTCTTGGGGGGCTCTCAGCTGTACCCGAAGTGTCTTCTCGCCACTTTATTAGGAAGGGGCATCTGTGCCTCAGAGACCGAGCAATCTAGGTGGTTGGCATTACTGGAGTCTGCCCCCTGCACACGCAGAGCCCACTGGAGGCGTAGGGCAGTCACGCTCCTGCTGACACAGATGTTGCCCTTGAAACAGTTGGGTTCCCCAGCGCCTGTGTTGGGGTCTGTAGACAGAGACGCTCCTCTGGAGGGGTTACAAGTCCTGGAGACAAGGCTGCTGCCCCGCCTAGGTGGGTGATGGGCCTGCCCTCTGGGCCTATCAGAAGACAGAGGAGCAGGGTGACTGCAGGATTCCAGGAGCCACCTCAGGTTGGTCGCTGCATGGAGCAAGGATGGTCTACATGCTAGAGAGGACGCAGTGCCATGGGTCGGAGCACATAGGGGTATAGGAGTCCTGAGTCAGCAAAAACCTCAGAACAGTGACTTGGAGGATGCTTCAGAGATGGATTTTTAACATCCCAGCATATGGGTCTTATTTGGATCCTGACTCAAGCCAACTAGTTTAATAAAACTTACAACATGAGATGATGGGAGACTCAAACACTGACTAGATGTTTGTGGTATTAAGGAATTACTGTTAATGTATTTTAGCTCTGATAATGGGATTTTTAAGAAGTTCTGGAGACTTCCGATCAAGATGGAGACATAAGTAAACACACTTTGCCACCTTGCACAACTACAGAAAAAAATTACAACCAGACCTCAAAACAACCCCCAGAACCATCAGAACATCAAGATCTGTGGACGTCTGACATCCAAGGATTTAAAGAAGCCACATTCATCCAGATGGATAGGAGGGGCGGAGATGGGCAGAGTAGCTCAGAAACCGGGTGTCGCACCTGGAGGCAGTGGAACGGGTGGTCCCATGTTCACGTGTGGCTGACATAGACCAGGAGACACACCTTGGGAGCAGAGGGTCCCAGGTTTCAGATCCAGGAAGATAAATCCCCATAACTTCTGGCTATAAAAACCAGGGGAGTTGGGGCAGTGGAAGGAACTGCCAGATTGTTAGGAGGCTCCCCGTAAAGGGCCCACACAGACTTAGGACTTGTGCAGACCCACCCCCTCTGGATTCAGCATCAGCACAGCAGCTAGGGGGCGCCAGTCACATACAGGGAGACAGTGAAGTGACTGGAAAGAGGGTGAATGCCAGGCACAGCTCCAGAAGCCAGGCAACGGCACTGTCCCCTGAGTCCTCGCACCACATAGGTGAAGTGGGTTTCCCCACCCTGGCGATCACCTAAGCTCCACCACACACAATTTACAGGTCTGCTATTCTACAACAGACCTTCCTACTAAGACAGGGAGTCAAAGCAGCCCCACCAAATACACAGAAACACACCCAGGGAGGCTGCCAGAACGAGGAGACAAGGAAACATGGCCCAACTGAAAGAACAGAACCAAACCCCAGAATAACTAAACGAAACAGAGATAAGCAACCTATCAGATGCAGACTTCAAAGCACTGGCGATCAGGATACTCAGAGAACTCACGGGGCACTGCAACCCCACAAAAACACCCAGGCTGAAACCGAGGTTGCATGAAGTGAAATAAAGACAAACCCACAGGGCGCCGACAGTGGAGGGGATGAAGCCGAGAATCAAAATCAGTGATTTAGAATGCAAGGAAGGAAAAAGCATGCAGTCAGAACAGCAGGAAGAAAAAAGTATTTAAAAAAATGAGGAGAGTATGAGTACCCTCTGGGACATCTCCAAACATACAAACATCTGAATCACTGGGGTGCCAGAAGGAGAAGAGGAAGAGCAAGAAATTGAAAACTTACTTGAAAACATAATGAAAGAAAATGTCCTTAATTTGGTGAAGGAAATAGACCTACAAGTCCAGGAAGCACTGAGAGTCCCAAACAGGCTGGACCCAAACAGGACCACACCAAGACACATCATAATTAAAATGCCAAAGATTAAAGATAAAGAGAGAATCTTAAAGCAGCAAGAGGAAAGGAGATAGTTACCTACAAAGGAGTGCCCATAAGACTGTCAGCTGATTTCTCAAAAGGAACTTTGCAGGCAAGAAGGGGCTGGAAAGAAGTATTTGAAGACATGAGAGGGAAGGATCTACATCCAAGATTACTCTATCCAGCAAAACTCTCATTTAGAATGGAATCCAGCAAAACTCTCATTTAGAATGGAAGGGCAGATAAAGTGCTTCTCAGACAAGGTCAAGTTAAAGGAGTTCATCATCACCAAACCATTATTATGTGAAGTGTTAAAGGGACTTGTTTAGGAAAAGGAAGATCAAAACCATGAACGTTAAAATGGCAATCAGTACATAACTATCAAGAGTTGTTAAAAAAACTTTGCATACAGCCAGAACAGGAAGAGAACCATAAATAAGATCACATGGAGGGTTATCAGCGGGGAAGGGGAGAATGGGGAAGAAGGCTCAGGGACTAAGAAGCACAAGTGGTAGGTACAGAATCGATAGGCAGAGGTTAAGAATAGTCCAGGAAATGTGGAAGCTGAAGAACTTACATGTATGGCCCATGGACATGAACTAAGGGGAAGGGAGAATGATGCTGGGAGGCGGGCGCTGGGTAGAAGGGGGCAAAGGGGGGAAATTGGGACAGCTGTAATAACATCAAAATATATTTAAAAAATAAAGTTAACTTTGACAGTACATTGAGATAATGAAGTCTTGGATTTGCACCCCCGCGGGTGGGGGGACGCAGACTGGCTGTGGCTGATGATGGTGGGTGCTCGGTGACAGGTAAATGGGGTTTACTGACTGTTTCGGGCTGTTTTGTATTTGTAACATTTTTTAATAAAAACTTGAAGAATTCACTTAAACTTGGGCTGATAAGAGTTGTATAAAAAGCATTTTAAAACTGGCATGTTTTGTACCTCATTATAAGAAAAGGCACCCAATTTGTTATATGTGTGGTTTTCCTTCCCTTTAGGGTATTACAGATCTCTCTACTTGTTAATCAACAGCAGGCTTCCGTCAAGTATCGAATATTCTGATTTATCTCGAGTTCCTATTGCAAAAGCGCTGCTAGAGAATGTTCTGAAACCATTGCACTTTACTTACACCTCCTGTCCAGAAGGCGCAAGGTGAGAGCGGGGATTGCTTTGTTTTGTGATTTCACCAGCTCTGTATCTCGTGGTGACTTGGACGCAGGATGCTATCTTAAATAACAGACGTGAATGTTGAATTTTTACTTCCTTAATGCGACTTGGTTTAAAGAAAAACGTCCTTTATCCTTCTGGCCTGCACCCTAGCATAGATTCACAGTCCTGAAGACCTGCCTGCTTCCCCGCTTCCCCGTGGCCGGCAGAGAGGCAGGGACGTGGCTGAGTGTTCCCATGCGTGCAGCTCACTCCAGGTGGTCTGCCTGATGCTGGGCGCTGAGCCTCGATTGCTTCGGAAGGCTGGTTTGCAAGTTACTTCAACCGAGGATTGATGAAGAGCCTGTGTTTTCCCTTCCAGGCGGCAGGTGTTTACGGCCTTCACCGAGGAGTGTTTGGCCGCACCTTTCACCGAGCAGGTTTTCCACTTCGTGCTGCCCGCACTGGCTGATGCCCAGGCTGCTTTCCCTTTCGAGCCCTTCCTGGAGGCGCTGCTGTTGGCGGAGAGCGGGCGCTCCGAGCCCCGCGGGGCCGCGGCCTGGCTCTTCTATGTCGTCTTAACTGTTGGCGAAAGCCACCTGGGTACGAACGCCAGACCGGTCCTCCTGAGCCTGTGTGGGGCATGGCATGGGCCTGGCGGGAGGGGCAGCACACGGCAGGGTCACTGTCACCCCTGTCACCCCATCACTGTCACAGGATGGCGGTTGAGGGAGTTTCCTGGGAGGGTGCTGAGGCTGCAGGACTGTCCTGGACGGGCTTCTGTGGAGAGTGCTGACCTGTACTGGCGTCATGAGTAGACACTTGTCCTAAGGCCACACGGGCTCAGGACTTCAGTGCCAAGTAGGGGAGCAGGTGTGCGTGCGAGGTTGTCTCCCCACGTGTGCCAAACGTCAGATGCTCTGGGGTCACAGCCATTCCCTCTGCGACACCGCAGCCCATGGGTTGGCGTCACAGTAGGTGCCGGTCAGCCACGCCACTCCAAGTGTAAGACAGGGACGGCGGTTTTGCAGCCTGGATCACCCGTAATGAATGGCTGTCATCGACTGTTTCCCGAAGGGACCCTCTCTGAGGAAGGCCTGCTGGTGTACCTGCGTGTGCTGCAGACTTTCCTGTCCCAGCTGCCGGTGTCTCCTGCCCGTCAGAGCTGTCAGGACTCAGCCAGTGACTCCGAGGATGACAGCGCCGAGGCAGACCAGCAGAGAGGCGCGCCAGTAAGCTCTGGGCCAGCCGGGCGCTGCACCGACAGCACCATTGAGCTCCCAGTGGTCTCTCACTCTGGGTCCCTCGGTCTTAGTCCCTGAGAGATGCAGGAGGTAGTGTGTGAAGCACTACCTCTACGGCCCTCCTCCCTCCCCCCCCTTTCCCAGAGGTCTCCACCCGGTGACGAGAAGGCCACATGCATGTTTATGGGGGCACACGGCGTGGCATGGTGCCTGGTTTTAGTGCGAAATGGGGTGATTCAGTGTGTCAGGTTATTGCGAGGGACCACATCCTGGACGGGAGCCGGCCTGGTGAACGGGCCCTCCCAAGCCCTCAGCCAGGTGTCTGTTTTGAGAGAGCTCTCGGTGACTACGCTCTTCCATGTGGCTCACCCCGTCGGGATGTACAGCACAGTGGCTGTGGGCAGTAAGGTCCCGCCACCGGGTAGGCGCTGCCGCGGTTACCCTCAGAGCGCATCCTCATTCAGTCCTTATTCTGGGGTGAGGCTGGACCCCCGGCGCCACCCCCCTTCTCCAGTGCCAGCCCCTGTGAGGGGAGGTGGCTGGGTTCCTTCTTGCCTTACCTGGTGAGCACCAGGCAGCGTCTTCTGGTCATTTTTGCCAGCTCTACAGACGGCAAGTGTTAGGGTTCATTGTAAAATGAACTAGAAGCGCATTGCCATGGTTGTCTCCCATTTCTTACCCAGCATCCATTACTGTGTGTTTCCTCTGCTTCCTCTGCATGTGACTTTCTTCAGATCTTCTTCATTGTTCTTTTCCCATTACCATTTATCCCTCTGTGCCCCACTCCCTACCATGTATTTTCCAGGGGGGAAAGCCGTGCATTATACATACACACACACACACACACGTGTGTCCCTCTTCCTGACGTGGTATGCCTGTCTGCTCGCTCTCTTACACACCCGGAACGGCTTTATTAGGTTCTTGGTGATTTTGTTAGGTTACTATGGGGTCTCACCTCGGGAGGGATGCAGGGGTGAGGGGCCAGGTTTCCAGGGAAGTCAGTCCTCAGGCTGGGGTGGGGTGAGAGGGCATGGGTGCTGTCCCTTCTGTGTACAGGCAGCTCACTCGTGGGTGAGGAAGCGCCTGGGCTTGCTGCGGGGAGCGGCACTGGCCAAACCCCGACTCTGCAGCACCAGAAGCAGACTGCAGTGTGGGGTCACAAAAGAATTGGCACCCTGCAGCTGGATGTGGGCAGAGCTTTTGTTCTAGAAGATAGGTTTAAACACTCAGTGACCTTCTTAAGGATTTGTGAAATTATAGGGTGTCTGCAGTCCGCCATGTACTTGGTGTCTGTGTGAAAAAGAGGCCTTAGCAGAGACTGGGGCCTTCCCCTCTGGGGACACAGATGGGGCGCAGACTGTGACCAGGATGGCAGAGCTTGGCTCCCTTGCTGTGCTCATGCCTGTGGTGTTTCGCAGGGCGGCGGGAGGGGTGTTGGCGTCCACCGGAATTTCACTCTCCGTGCGCAGCTCGGACTGCGGTCCCAACGTTTCTTATTCTGTGCATCTTGTCCAGAGTCTAGTTTGCTGGCTGGAACGTGTGGCTTTAGTCTCTAAAACAGTGTTTTGGTTGGTAGGCGATTGTAAGTTACGTAAGTATATCACCCCGGTTCTCAAACAGTGCAGTTTTGTGTGTCTATTTGTATATACTTGTGTGCACATGCACACATCCACACATGAAAAACGTGTGTTTTTGATTAATGCCCCAAATCAGTAAACTCTGTGGAGCATTAGCTCAGGTTGTATTCAGTGAATCAGATCTTCTAGAGAATTAAGATATAAAATAACAGGTTTATGTATTTCATTTAATTGTTTTTAAATGTTCTGTAATAACCTACTCTGCTTAAACGATCACTCAAGACAATTTGCAGTGGAAGTTCTTCAATGATGATGTGTTCTCACAGACACGTTTTGTGCGGGGCGCTCTAAAAATAGGGGACAAGCTTCTGTCAAAGTGGGGACACTGCAGACACTGTCCATGTGGGAGCACACTGGACACAACTGCTGCCCACTCTAGCTCTCAGGTTTCTGTGGGGGATGCTGTGCTGTGGCCTGGGGAATTTGGGGTGATGCCTGCCCTGTGCTTTGGCCGGAGGAAAAATGAGACCCTCCGTGAGTGTGGTGGAGAGGCGGGCCCCCACAGACCACCCCTAACCCACAGCCACTCCCGGTGTGTTTCAGGCGGACGGACGACTGTCGTTGCCCTACATAGCGGAGGAGTGTCTGAGGAAGCTGGACACGAAGCAGCAGACGAACGCGCTGCTCAGCCTGGTGTGGCGGGACTCGGCCGGCGAGGAGGCCTTCACGCTGATGGCTTGCATCTGCCACACGCTTCTGGTGCAGCAGCGCATGATGGTGCCCCGAGTCAGGCACGTGCCCGGGCCGGGGTCCCTGTCCCCGTCTGTGCCCTGCTCTCAGTCTGGGTCTGTGGGGCAGGACCCGGGGCTGCTTCTGCCTGAGCATTTTGTGGAGAATGAGTCAGGTTTCTCTCCCGAACCTGCGAGCCCCACAGGGGCCCCACCCCACCCCACCCGTGAGCTCTGAGGTGCCCTGAGACGTGGGAGCAGGCGGAGGTGGCCAGCCTCTGCTGTGTCTCAGGCACAGAAGGGTTTGAAGCCAGGCGGGTGCCTGCGGCGACAGAGCTGATGGTGGCGTGTCGTTCTAGGCCTGTTCCCGCTGCTCCTTCATCGGAGCACCTGGGCCGCTTACCCTGCCTGTCCCCAATTGTGGTTTGCAAACACTCCAGATAAGTTTTGAGAGGAACAAAACAAGTGAAAATGGCTAGTTCGTGCTCAGGTACCTGGCGTCATCTTCAGCTTTTTTCCCTCTATTTTAAGTAACAGTTTAGCAGTTTCTTAGGAGTTTCACAGAAAAAATACGTAATAGAGCATAGCGGATGGGTGGAGGAGGGGCTGCCGGATGGCCCTGGTGGCGGGGGCTGCACTGTGCTCGGTGACTGAGGCTGCTTCTGAGAGCTACTCGCCCACAGGGTGGTGAGGGCTGCTGCTTTGTCCTCTGATATGAGCTGTGGGGGGACCTCATTGGCAGAAGCTGCCTTGTCACTATGAAGGCGGACCTCACGAGGTGCCTTCCAGGCCACTGGTGTTCATCACCACGAAGGAGGTCAGGCATCGAGGCAGAGATCCTCCCAGGTGGGGAGCTCTCAGGCTACTGGGTGAGAGTGGGCTGGGGACCCAGGGGGCACCCGGGCCCTGGTCCCTGCTGTGGGCGGTGGCCACCTGCTCCGGGCTGCTGGGCCCGGCTTCTGCATGGCTTCCCCCACGGCCGGTGTGCGAGCCCAGCATCTAAGCCTGGCGTCTGCTCCCTGCAGGATGGGCTCCAGAGGCAGTGAGCAACATCAGGGTTTAGGGTCCAGAGTGTGTTTTCAGGGGTCACGACATAGCAGATAGGCCTCCCTCAGTGGTTAAGGGGTTCTGACTGCTTCCAAATCTTCAGAAAAGGTGGTTGAAACAGAGTTAGGTGGCCCTGGGCTGGTGCCTCGCCCTGTGGTCCCCCCAGGCTCTGTCCAGCCCCTTACAATTCCGGTGGGGCTTTGCAGTGTGTTCTGTTCCACGTGGACTGTCAGGCTGTGTGAAGGGACACGGAGCAGTTTCCAAGGCACTTGTTCAAGTAAAGGAAGGAGAGAAAAAGAATAGAGAACAGTGAACGGGAGCCCCTCCCCCGTCAGGAGGGGGAGGAGTAAGAAGGAGTAGCGGTTACTGTTCACGCTGCTCTGCTCACAGCTTCGCTCTTTCACTGGAAGGCCTACCTGTCCGTCTGTGGGGATGCCCCCAGGCCGCCAGCAGCTCGCTGCTCAGCCCTGGACCCCTGGCCCCTCCACAGACCTCGTGCTGGTGACTCTGCCCTGACTCTGGGCTTCTCCTCGGCTTCCTGCACAGGTCTTCTCCATCTCTGTCAGACTTCCCCTTCTGCTCCCTTTCCTATGCCTTCCTTCCCTGCAGGCGCTCTGGGCAGTGTCACTCGTACCAGGGGCTCTGGCCCTTGTCTGGTGCTCCGCACCTAGCCCAGTGGCTGCAGCGCCTGTCCTCAGATCCTGTGTGCTGCCTGGGCCTGGCAGGCCTCTTTCCCCGAGTCAGGGTCCTGCTGGGCCATCTTCTGGGAAGTCGCTGGTGAACCAGGGCTGCTGCACTCCAGTTAGACTAGAGTGCACACCCTGTTCCTTGGTTCCGCTCGCCACGTCCTGCCAGCCGGGTGGTCCCCCAGCCCAAGTTGTTCCACCTGCCCTTGGGCACCAGACGGGGAGTGCTGCACTGTGTGTCATGGTTTGCCAGACCGGAGTGTCACACTGTCACCCTGTCTTGCTTCAACGTTGCCCAGGCATCCCCCTGGCACTCGGACATTCACGCGCCTCAGCTCCCTGGCACTGGGGTGTCTCTCTCATGTGACGTGTGGCCGTGGAGCACTGGGGCCTCCTGGATCCCAGGTGCCACCCCCTGCCTCTCTCCTTCCTCCTGCTCTAGTCTCCATCCAAGACGCGCTGCCCCTTCTCAGCCAAGCAGTCTGTAGGTTCGTGTCACAGCCACTGCCTTCCTGAGTCTGGGGGCCGAGGCTTCTCCTCGCAGCCCTCGTGCAGTGCCCACTGTGGGGGAGGTGCTCTCTTGCAGAGTGCGGCTCTGAAGGGGTGGCATTCTCATCCAGGGGGCCAGGTAGGTGGGCCTGCTCTTCGAGGCTTGGCTCTCTCGTTCTGGCATCTGAAAACTTTGAAGCTGAACTTGAAAGGTAGTGTTTCAGGGGTCAGAGTGGTTGACGGTATCATTCGCCTACAGTCTCCAGCTTTATCACAATGAGCGCTTGATTTTTCCACCAGAATGCAGGTGGATTCCAGTACAGTGTGCTGCAGGGTTATTTCTAAATGTTCATGTTTTTGTAAACAAGGTTTACAGTGTTTTAGAAAAATACTGAGGAGGTAGCTAACTACAGAGAGGAACATTTGGATTTTTGTCTGTGGTTTTGTTTGCTTTTATTATCAATGATGTGTCTGGTATAACCAGGAGGTTTAATATGCTGCCGATTTGTGTTGAAACGGGCATTCTCTCGCCCTGGTCGGTGTGGCTCGGTTGGTTGGAGCATCAGCCTGTAAACCAAAAGGCTGTGGGTTCGATCTCCAACCAGCGTACATACCTGGTTTGCACTCTGATCCCCGGTCAGGGTGTGTCCCGGAGACAACCGGTGATGCTTCTCTGTCGTCCGTGCTTCCCCTTCTCCAACCCCCATCCTCTCGCTCTCTGAAAAGCAATGAGAAAATGTCCTCGAGGATAAAATTTTTTAATGTTCCCACACACAGCAGTGCCACCACCAAGTCTGTGTTGAGGTTTGTGCAGAGGAGGAGCTGGCAGTCGCTGGGGCGCAAGCCCAGGGTGCAGCGGGAGCTGCCCCAGCACCCTCAGCACCGTCCCTGGTGCTGAGTTTTCAGACCTCCCAGAACTTTGCAAATGTGGGTGACTAGTTGTTTCCTAGGAAATGCAGGGGATCCCGAGAAAGGCCTATGTGAGGGCTGTCGGCAGCTTCTGCAGTTGGCGTGTGTGAAACCCAGTGTTTGGAACTAGCAGGGGAAGGCGGCCGTGGGAACTCTCCAGAGGCTAGGGCTGCCTCCCCGTTGGCTGACCCCACAGCCCAGGCACAGGCCCGTCCCCAGGAGGCCCCGGAAGGACGCTGGCTGCAGAGGCCGGGTCCTGGGCCCCAGGTGCTCCTGGAGCTCAGCCCTGTGTCTAAAGCCTCGCTTCCCGTCCCGGTCCGAGTTGGCAGAGAAAAAGGCTTGTCAGGAGTGAGTGGCCTCCAGCTGAGATGTGTCTTACGGTTCTTATTGTCATGAAGGGAGTTTAGAATTTGCTTGTCCTCTCATGTGGTGGTGTGAGTGCTGCTTTCACTGGCAGAGTGGTCGTGGCAGCAGGGCGGCCTCCAGTAGCTGGTGGGTGCCCGAGACCCCTTCTGTGCGGAGGGTGTCTCAGCATGCCTTGCTGGGCCCCACCCAGGCGGCCTGCAGGAGGACTGGCTTCTCCACTGCCTCGGTCATGTTCCTTGGTGGTCCTTGCAGGCAGTGGCCTGGTCATGGCCAGTCAGCCCACAGGGCAGCTCGTCACCAGTCCTGGCAACTTGTGTGCAGGTTCAGCGCCTCATTTATGGTCTCCTGAGCAACTCACTTAGGGAGTGTTGTGTTTCCGAGCACAGCTTGGGGAGTGGGCCCACTGCAGTGGCCTCCTGGGTGTGGGTCGGTATCAGCCATCCCTGTGAGAAGGCATGCTGGAGGGTGTGGGGGTGCCATGTCCTCATCCACAGGCCCCCACGTGAGCGAGCGTGTGTGCCCGGCCTTCGCTCACTTCCCCCCCAGGTCAGCGGGGCGGGCGTTGCCAGTGCTCTGTCGCCTGGGTGGTTGCTGCAGGAGCTCGGAGCAGGTGCGCCTGTGGCGCTGTGTGAGTCCTCAGACTTTCCAGGTGCTGGACCTTAGTGTCTATGTTTAACACAACTTGAAGAAATATGGATGTCAGTAAAATTATGTTAGATAACACATTTTTAAGAGAATCTCTCAAGAGAGAGGAGGCAAGAAATGTTAGCTTCTAGAACTCTCGTGTGAAAGTTCATATTTTTCATGCATTTTTTTTCTCATTCTGTTTCCTGTGTAGCTGTTTGCCACCCTCCTAGCGTGTAAAACCTGGGAAAGGCAGGGAACCCACACTGGAGCCCACTCCCATGTGTGGTGAGCAGGGTCCCTCCCCGTAGGCTTTCGGGAGGGGCTTGCCTGCCACCCACCACAGGGCACCAGGGTTCTCTGTGACGGGGCTTGTTTCATTTGTCTCCTGTAACTTGCTGCATCATTTGTTACATTTTAAAATTATTCCAGTGACTTTAAGAAGTTTTTTCAGCCTGGTTTTGAGACCTGCCCAGTTGGAGCTTGTGGGTTGTGTGCTGTTGTTGCTACTTTGTCCCAGTGTGTGCATGGGGCGGACACACACTCCACACAGAGCCGCCCCTCACGAGTCAGAGCCAGGGAGGCCTTGGAATTGAAGCAGTTCAGCCTCTTCTTTTGCCGTGGAAACGGCGCGCCTGGCCTTTGAAGAGCGGGGCAGCTGGGTGACCTCGCAGGTTCTCCCCAGCCTAAGGCTTTGTGGCTGTTGTAGGGGATTTAAAGCAGGAGAGGTCAAGGCCTGTTGGACCCTGCCCCCCTCCCTCCCTGGCCCTGGCCCCGACCCTGACCCGCTGCGCCTCAGCCTCCCCAACTCCTGCGCTTCTGAAGATGCCCGCCACGCACCGCTCCTCTGAGGGCGGCACTGGGACTTCAGAGTGCAGGGTGGCGCAGGGGGCTGACCGGAAGGGAGGCTTGCTGTTCCCTGGTCCCCCTGTGGAAGTGGTATTCTACAGAAGTGTTTTCAACCTTCAGAACATCTTTTATAGAGTTAAAGTAGTTTGTAGATTTTATTTGACGATAAGGTCATTTGTATGTGCGTGTTCCAGAATCGTGACTCAAGTCGGATGCTGAGTGGTACAGGTTTTGAGGGCGCGTGTCAGTGGTGGCAGCGTTGGCAGCGTTGGCAGCACCTCCGTCGCAGTGCGTGGACGGAGTGCGTGGACAGAGGTCCTGCAGCACCTCCTCGGGGGGAGGGGTTCTCCTCTTGCTCCTGGGAGCACTCTGGCCGGCGCCAGGCCCGCACACCGTGGCGGGCGGCGGGTGTTGGTGGTGCAGGTGCAGACGTCTCCCACACGGCACGTGTCCTCGGCGAAGCGCACTTTTGAAGCGATGTGTTGAACGAGTGTTTGCTGACTCTTATCTCCCCTTCCTTTTTAGGCTTCTCTACAGCTTAGCCTTTAATGCCAGGTTTCTGAGGCACCTTTGGGTTCTCATATCGTCAATGACCACACGGATGATCACAGGGTATGTGGTGCACGCGGACTTATAAATTGAGCTTAAGGACGGGGGACTTGGCGACCTCGTTGAAAACCCTGTAAGGTATTCTTCAGCACTGTTCCTCCCGGTTACTTCCTGTGGGGAGTTGCATTTACACGGCCTCCATGTCACAGGGGGGAAACCACTGCCCGTCTTACGGGTGTTTGTATGTGATACTAGGAGTGTGGCTTTATCTGAGGGTGAACTTGTTTCTAAAATTCTAGTCATTTTGGGAAATGGCAGACCTGGAAATTCCTTCGTTCCACATGACTTTCCTTTGTTTTTGATAAAGAAAATGTAGATTCGAAGCAAATTTAAGACAGCACACAGCAGTAACAGATATCAAATATTGTAGAAGTGGGTTGTTTAAAACTTTGTGCTAAAATAATTTGATCTTTCTTATCTGAATCACTGAAACGTAAAGGCGAGAGCCTTTACTGCACTAGTTTTAGTCGAGTGGTAAGCAGAGAACTGAGTACCCGTGGTGAGTGCCCTCAGCCCATTTCCATGTCGCCTGTCCCCTCTGGCGGAGTCTGAACTGACCCCGCACACTGTCACACAGAAAGGCCGTGTGCGACTCAGCTGACTGCGGACTAAGCCTGAGAACGCAGCTGTGAGTGCAGCTCATGCTCGAGAAACCACTGTGCCACGGCGGGGCCGTCCGCCAGGAGCCCGCCCAGCTGGGACCAGGAGGCTTGGCTCGGTTTTAGGGCAAGACTTTGGAAAGAAGAATTTCTTTTTGGTTTTTGGCTTTTTTCTTTTTGGGAGACAAGAAGTTGAAAAGCCGTTTTGGTGGGTGAGGGTGGGGTCTGCAGTGAGAGTGGGTGTGCAGCGTGTCGGGCGGTGCAGGAAGTCCAGGCACCTCGAACTCTGGGCGTGGGGTGCTGAGGAGGAGGCCCGGGTCTGTGCCTGAGCGTCGGTGACGGCCTGCCCTACGGGGGGCGCTGTGTCCAGGTCAGCTGCGCAGGCCACTCTTACTGCTGGGGTCTGCTGTTCATACAGCATGGCTCTGGGGTCCTGGGCTGGCTGAAAGGTCCGCAGCGTTTCTCCGCCTGTGACTCCGGTGGCACTTAGCTGTCCTCCATGTCATCTGGAGCAGTCCGGTTAGACTGCTGTGGTGGCTGTCCTATCGGCACACTTTGTTAAAAAACCTAACCAGAACTCAAGAAGGGTTGTACAGCCCTTTTAATGTTGAAGCTGGAAGAAAACATGCAGCGTTTTTATTTCAAGAAAGCCAGAAATGCAGAAAAAGATTCATGCAGTGTATGGAGAAGGTGCAGTGACTGAGTGGACATGTCCAGAGAGGTTTGCAGAGTTTCTTGGTACAGGGCAGAATCTGTCCAAATAACCTTTTGCTGTGGGGTGTGTCATGGACTGGAAGGTGTTTAGCAGCACCCTGGCCTCTCCCCACTAGAAGCCAGTAGTGGGAGGCAACCGACACGCTCAGAATATCCAAATCAGTGAAGTTGTTGGTGAAAACGAAAAGTGTGTCTTTTATCTTTTGGAAAACTAAATGGACCTTTTGGCCAGCCCACTACTTTCAGGGAGTGAGGAGCGGGGGTTCTAATGACACCACTGCCACTGAGGAGCCCCCGGCAGCCCCTGGGGCAAGGACCCAGGAGAGGCCTGGGGGTCTTCTTTGCTGCCCTTCGTCTTCAAGGGAGGGGGGCTTCAGGCTGTGTTGTGCTTTTGGTGCCAGCCTGGGCTTTCCCAGGGGACAGTTTCTTTAAGGCAGGTGCAGGCTGGGGACCCTTGGGACAGGAATTAGCAGCAGAGCCTGACTGTCTGTGTGTTCGTGACGCTGCCTCGTGCTGAGGAAGCGGAGTCACTGCACGGGAGAGACTCTTTTTAAAAGCTCACTACTTTTAAAAAGCCAGTGTGAGGATTTGAGTTTCATTTCCCATGTTTAACTTATTAAAACAAAGTCCCACAAAGAACTTAGAGTGTATTAACCCTGACGTGTGTCCTCATTAACTGTTGGGACAGAAGGCTTAGTTAGTCTCTAAGTGGCGCTGAGTCTGACTTGGAGACGTGCATGGCTGAGACCTCCGAGCTGTGCTTGGCTGACGGGCAGCCGGAGGCGGGGGCTGAGAGCACGGGCTCTGGTCCCACCCGGGCCTGGGATGCGGGGGCAGGTGGAGGCACACGGGGCCAGGTGGTCTCTGCCTCCCACCAGGCGCCCAAGGGAGGGCCTTTGCTGCAGTGGCAAGCTGCATGGTCCTCTGGCCCCGAGGCTGGCTGAGTCCTGGCTGGGCTCCCCTCAGCAGGGTGGCTGCCCTGTGTGCCCGTCCCCCGTGTCTTTCCACGTCGGCACCAGCAGTGGGGAGGACTCTCAGCAGGTGGAGTAGGAAGTGCTCTTAAGACTCTTGAGGCAGGAGCCTGTTCAGTAGGAGCGTCTACAGGTGGAAGAGAGGCTCTTTGGTGGGGGGGAGTGGGATTGAGGGCGCAGCCTGCAGCCCCATGCAGAGGGCGAGCCCGAGCCCAAGGCCACACCAGTGTCCTTACCGGCCAACTCTCTTGTGATCGCCAGTGTCTTGCTGTTGCAGTCCACAGTGGCTTCTTCCTGGCTCGCACGTCTGTGGGGCTGGCCTGTGTCTAGAGCACTGTTTGAGCCAGTGTCTGTGGCAGAGAGCGCGGTCAGCAGGACTCGAGAGAAGCTTCATTCTGTCCTGGCTGCCTGAGGACACAGGCACGCAGCTGGCCCTTCTTTCCGGTCACACTTTCTGTCATTAGGAAAAAACCACCCTTTCCTGGGCTCCCCGACAGGGAGTAAGGACGGTGAACAGAAGGGTCGTCCGTCTTTGTAGGGAGCCCCTCTGAGAGTGGCATGCGTGACGGCAGATGCGTGGGTGACTTGCGGTGAGGGGCAGGGGGGCCGCAGTGACGTTGGTGAGTGTGAGGATGATGAGGAAGGAGGTGGTGGGGAGTTTTGAGTACGAGGAGTATCGACTGCAGTAACAACTGAAGCAGGTGTGTCGCTTTTCTACATTCAGGGTTTTTTTTTTTTTATCCTCACCAAAGGACATGCTTACTGATGTTGGAGAGAGGGGAAGGGAGGGAGAGAAACATCGATCGGCTGCCTCTTGAATGCGCCCCGACTGGGGACCAAACCTGCAGCCCAGGCCTGTGCCCTCGCAGAAATGGAAGCTGGGACCGTTTGGTGTATGGAACGGTGCTCCAACCCACTGAGCCATGCCAGCCAGGGCTCAGGAAATGTTTTTATGTGTTTCACCTGGTTAACTCAACCTCTACCATGTTCCCTTAAGTGTTCATTTGTTCATCACTATCAGTTATTTTTGCAGTTATGCATTTGGTGGCAAAGCAACTAAAAGATACAAACTTTATTTTTACTGATAGCAACAAAACCGAGGACGGATGTTAAGATCCTGCCTTCCATCTGTTAGCGGCACATGACCCTGGGTGGCCCAGTGGGCTCAGGGGACAGGACCCTGTGGGTGAAGGGTTCACTGCTGGGCGGTGAGGCTGCCCCCTGCCCCTGTTCTGCGCACACACAGCCTCTTCCGTCCCCCTGGCTTTGTCCATGAGGTGGGACAGTTGTCCTGTGTCCTTTTCAGCATCCTCACCGTGGTCCTGTTTTGGACCAGTCCCTTTGGTTGGTGAGACCATCAAGCACAGGGTTCAGTGTTGTGGCCACATGTGGGGGTTGGCATGTCTAGGACAGGGCAATGGCTAGAGTGTTTCTTCTCCTGGGGACAGCACTCACCTGGGTCCCCGTCCTCAGCCCTGCTGACTTGGTGCAGCCCCTCAGATGTGCACCGTGGAGACCCGGAAGCTCCAGGGCCTAGGCCCAGCTCCACCAAGCCCCTGGGAATAACCAGTCATCTGCTGGGCCTTGCCTCCTGCCCTGCTCTCCCACAGACCTGTGGGCCGCCTGGGGTGGCTGGCTGGTTGTGTCCTGAGTCCTGGTCACGACTCATCTAACGTGTGCCTGCCTTTGGTTTGTGGAGATATGTTGCAGGTGCCCACAGGTGTAGCTGGACATGCTCTGGGGGGCCGTGGAGCCTGGTAGTCTGGGAAGAGGCATGTCAGCTCCAAGTTCAGTAACACGAGGCGCCACATTTAACCATGAGACAAAGGGGCTGGGGTGGTGGTGGGAGAAATGAGTGTAGCCCATGCCAGCTCTTTCTGGGTAAGGAGCCCCCGAGGTGCTCTCAGGACCACTCACCTTAGGCTGCGCTGCTCTGGGTGGCCCGCGGCACCTGGCACACCCTGTCCCAGGGGCAGCTACAGAGCCCTGGGACAGGAGCTGGGCTCCTAGAAGCAAGGCCCAGAGCAGAGGGAGGAGTCCCGATTCCTGAGCTCCTGCCGGGGTCAACAGACCCCTGTTGGAATGTCCCCGAGTGCTGAGCAGCTGGTAAACTTCCCAGGACCAGAGCGCTCGGCCACTGTGCAAAGTGTTACACAGGAAGGGGGGCTTTGACCATGGAAGCAAAGTGTGCATCCACGAGAGTGGTGTGACTGACGCCGCTGTCCTCTGAGGGTGTCCTCAGGCCAGGGCTCACGCCACAGAATTTAGGATGGGGGGGCAGACTGGCGGGCTGGCTGCTGGGCTGCCGGGTTTCTGTGCACTGTTCATCGACCAGTGCTGATGGGAGGCCTGCCCCTGCCCTCGGAGCAGACGCTGTGCTCCTGGAAGCGCTCGTTTCCCCGGGTCTGTCTGTGTGATGCCCTGTCTCCTGTCCCTTCTGCCCAGGTCCGCGGTGCCGCTGCTCCAGGTGATCTCGAGGGGCTCGCCCATGTCCCTCGAAGACTCCGGCCGCATCATCCCACTCTTCTACCTGTTCAGCTCCCTGTTCAGTCACTCGCTGATTTCCATCCACGATAACGAGTTCTTCGGTGACCCCATTGAAGGTGAGGCTTTTACGGGCCCTTCTGTCGCCAGCCCTTGGCCTCTCCTCCTGGGGGATGGGAGAAACTTTTGTCCTCTTTGGTGCCCTGGGACCAAACTGAGATGGGGCGGGGCTGTTTTCCAGTCGCTGGTCAGAGGCCGTCCTCCCTCATGCCTTTCACCCTGGAAGAGCTGGTGGTGCTGTCGCGGTGCCTCCGGGACGCCTGCCTGGGCATCATCAAGCTGGCCTACCCGGAGACGAGGCCCGAGGTGCGGGAGGAGTACGCCACCGCCTTCCAGAGCGTCGGGGCGCGCTCGAGCGCCGAGGTGCAGCGGTGCGTCCAGACGGAGCAGAAGCGCTGGGTCCAGCTGTTCAAGGTTTGGGCGTGGGCTCTTCTCACAGACCTGCGGGTTGGGGCCGTGATTCGGTGTGCACTGTGGTTTTCTCTCCTTCTCTCTCACTTTTTTCCACTTTAGATGTCATCTAGGGGTCTGTGGGGGTTTTGTTTTTTGTTTGTTTTTTTTTTACTTTTTAAATACAATTCTGTTTGTTGGGGTGATATATTGTAATAAGTTGACATAGGTTTCAAGAGTGTGTTTCTGTGGCACGTGGTCTGTATGTTGCATGTGGGCTTAGCACCCACAGCCAGGTCACCTTCTGTCCCCACATCTCTCCCCCTTTACCCTTCTCTACCCCCGACACCTGCCTTCCTTGAAAACCCCGTTTTTGCTGAACGCATCTGTTAGAAACTGCCCATAGTGCTTCTAGTGATATGAAGTGCAGATGAGGTTTTTAATGTTTCTGTTTTTCACTGCAAGATCTCTTACAGATTTTATTTCTTTAGTCTTACAAGAAATTAACATAGGAGGAGTAAGGTTATCAATTTCATGACACTGGAATATGAATGATTTCAAAAGAGCCTCATCTGCGACCACACAGAAAGGGCAGTTGGGAGTTACCGGGGCTGCAGTGTTGGCAGGAAACCACCTCCACGGAGGGAGACTAGCTATCGGGGCAGAAAAAAGGAAGAGAAAAGGGCGCTTGACTTCCCGTGAAATTTCTGCGGCAAACACACCCAGTCAGCTAAAATTGCTCGTTAAAGGGGTGAGAGCAGGAGAAGTGCATTTTCCAAATTGAGCGCTAGATTTACTGTCCAGGGAAGACTGGCGACCTCTCGCGCACTAATGTTCCCAGCGAGTCATCAGCTGTCCCTTCAGGTCTTTTATCACCGCTGTTGTCACGCTATCTATTTAATTGAAAGAAGTTAATTGAATGAAAATGATCAACTAAGCTTGTATTAATATTGCTAATGGAACTTTCTTCTTGGCCATGTTTGGAGAAAGATGTCAAGCCAGACTTTAGGAAAGGCCCATTAATGCTTGCACTTAACCTGATGGGCTAATTAAGGACTGCTTACTCATCCGAGGGGCGCAGCAGGCTCTGCGCGGCCCCTTCCGCTGGCCTCACAGCACATTCCACTTACGGCGAGGCATTACAAGCCGTGGGGCCAACGGGTACTGCTTTGATTGCGCGGAGCAGTCCTCATGCACCATTGAACTTGCGATCTGTGCCCACGGGCGTGAGATGTGTTTGCAGTGCACCTTCATCACCCATCTCCAGGTTCCTAAGTAGATACGGGAGGTCACATGGTTAGCCCTTGATGTATCCTTTCTTAAGGATTGACGGTTTTTTGACTATTCTAAGTTAAAAATAAGCTATCGACTCATCGAAAACCTGTAATTCTTATGTAAACTTTCCTGGATACGCATATTATGGTGGCATATGTATTTTCTTTAAGTGTTTAATTAAACTCTGGGGCCTTTGTTATTAATAAAGTGTTCCATTCTGTAGATAACAAGTACCGTGTGCAGTGCCAGGTGATTTTATCGTTTTACAGCACCTACTGAGAATTTAATAATTTTCATCTGACAGGCTTATCTTCTGGGCCTGGAATTCTCTGAGTTTAATAACGCTATAGATTTACTCCTGGCCCTATTTTATTTTGCTTAAGCATTGACTGGAAATTTTGTAATGAATTTCTTTCTTATCCCTCAAAATGGCTCATTATCACTTTATAGGGATTGAAGGTTTTGAGAATGAGGGTGAGAGTTCACTACTTTGGTAAAGGATTAATTTGGGTTTGAAATTAGTCATTACAAAGACCTTCTGAGTGGAGAACAGTTGTTTGAAGACAGTTTTTTTGAACAGCATCTCTGTCCTGTGGGAAGTCATTTATGCCACCTGTTCACTGAGCCAAGGCCTGACCATGGCCGCAAGGGACAGCCTCTGTGAGCAGGAAAGGGCCCGGCTGCTCCCAGGGTCCCTGTGTAGAGGGCGGTCTGTGATGTGCAGTGTGGGGAGTGTGCCCCAGGGTCCCTGTGTAGAGGGCGGTCTGTGATGTGCAGTGTGGGGAGTGTGCCCCAGGGGCACTGTGTCCAGACAGCGTTCTGAGAGCTCGGCGTGTGCTGGTCGCTGTAATGCCATGACGATGCTGGGACTCTCCTGTGCCACAGGTGAGGCCACGTGGTGGTGGGTGGGAAGAACCAGAGCAGACTGGCAGCACTTTTTTACAGTATGTTTTATTAATTATGCTACTACAGCTGTCCCAGGTTTTCCCCCTTTGCCCACCTCCCCCTTAGTTCATGTCCATTGGGTCTTGCATGTAAGTTCATTGGCTTCTCTATTTCCTACACTATTCTCTTTTTTTATGGTTTATTTATTTATTTATTTATTTATTTTTAGAGAGAGGGGAAGGGAAGGAGAAAGAGAGGGAGAGAAACATCAGTGTGTGGTTGCCTTTCATGTGTCCCCTACTGGGGACCTGGCCTGCAACCCAGGGATGTGCCCTGACTGGAACATTGAACCAGCAACCCTTTGCTTCACAGGCCCGTGCTCAATCCACTGAGCTACACGAGCCAGGGCTTCCTACACTATTCTTAACTTCTGCCTGTCTACTTTCTATCTACCCTTTATGCTTTTTATTCCCCATACCTTCACCCCCATTCTCCCTCCCTCTCTCCATCCCCACTGATAACCCTCCATGTGATCTCCATTTCTGTGATTCTGTTCCCATTCTAGTTGTTTGCTTTGTTTTTTTTTTAATATTTTATTATTTATTTTCAGAGAGAGGGGAAGGGAAGGGGAAAGAGAGGGAGAGAAACATCAGTGTGTGGTTGCCTCTCATGTGTTCCCCACTGGGAACTGGCCTGCAACCCAGGCATGTGCCCTGACTAGGAACCGAACCTCGATTGCATGGTTCACAGGCCCACGCTCAATTAACTGAGCTACACCAGCCAGGGCATGCTTTGGTTTTTGTTTGTTTGTTTTTTTAGGTTCAGTTGTTGATAGCTGTGAGTTTGTTGTCATTTTACAGTTCATAGTTTTGATATTCTGGAAGCCACACTTGTCTGGATGAATGTGGATCTTTAAACTTAACCTTGATTGTTGGACTTCCACACAGTTTGATTATATATATATATGGCAGTTCTGAGTGTTTTTTGAGGTTAGTTGTGATCCTTCTATGGTTGTGCAAGGAGGTGACGTGTGTCTGCCTATGCCTCCCTCTTGACTGGAAGCCCATTAGCCTTTTTTCTCTGTAGCAGTGTCAGCTTGGAGTTGCAGACTGCAAGGTGGAGTCTGTCTTCCGCTGACCTGGCGGGGCTGCGTGATGGGGCCTGGCTCCCTGGACCGCCAGCTGCTCTCATTCTCAACCCTGCACTGTCCTCTTGAGCCAGTTTCTGGGAGAGGCTGCTGGCTGGCCCCAGAGTGGAATTTCAGGTGGAGAGAGTCATGTCTCTCTGTCACTGTGGGGACCGAGGTCAGTTCCAAGGCGTGCATCGATGCTGCTGAAACGGTATCTGCATTCATCAGCTGTGTGTGTGCCTGTCGGGTGTGCTCTGTAGCTCTGATTGCTCCAGCCTCTGTGTGCCCCTGGACACACATGCGTGTGCAGCGCCTGCACAGGAAGGGCAGGGGTGGGCAGGGCTCAGACCCTGCCTGCCACCCCTGTCTGGACAGAGAGAGCCCAGTGCACCCGGTCGCCCCGTCTTGGGGGTTGGTTGATTTGTGATTTTTCAGGTTCAGAAAGACTTTCCTAAAAATTAGGCCTCGAGACAACAGTACCCCTGACTGTGCCCGTCACACCACCGCCTCAGTGGGCTGCTCACCAAGGGGTGCCGAGCGGTGGCCTTTGTTGGGGCCGAACGTGCCCCCTCCTTGCCTGTCTTGTGAGGGTTCTGTCTCAGTTGGGTTTGGTTTTTGCTTCCAATCCTCACCAGTGGGTACGTTTATCGATTTTAGAGGGAGAGCGGGAGAGGGATGCTGATGTGAGAGAGAAGCATCGATCGGTGAACCACATGTACTTTTTGTTGTGTTAATGTAACTAAACATCAGTGAGCTTCGCTTAGAAGTAAATATGCTCTCGTGTCAGCAGCCTGAGGTTGTACACGTGCACACACGTGCAGCAGGCGGGGCAACGTGTGTCCTGCTGGGTCGGGTGGCGGCCCTGCAGGGCGGGGCCTGTTCTGCAGCACCTGCAACTCAGACGTGGCCAGGTGTGGGCTCAGGAGTGGTGGTCCATGTGACCTTTTCCACACGGGGTGGAGGGACACCTGCCCACAGGTGTCTCCCCCCCCGCCCTCCCATTCCCACAGTCAGTAGTAACAGAGCGTGGAGAGCCGCTGTGTGCGTTTTTCAGGATGTGAGCCCTCCTGTGAGTTCAGGGCGCTGGCTGATTCCCTGGGACGTGGTGGGACGCATCGTGTCGGGACACATTGTGTCGGTGTGGTTGGTGTGCCGCTGAGGCACTGCGGGCGGCACTGGGCACAGCTGCTCCCCCGGCGCGTGCTCGTCAGCCCGGGATGCTGCATGCCCCGCACTGGTTCCCCAGTCTCTGCGCATTTGGGTGTCCTGGGAAACTGCCATTGACAGGCATCCCCTCGAACAAATGGGGGAAAATCGGTGATGGTGGCCCTGTGTGGGCATTTACGTATTAGGTCCTCTTCACGTCCAGAACTTTCTGAGTCTCCGGTTTGGGTGGAGTACTCTTTTGGGGTCCTCCCCAAGCCAGAAAACATGTTCAGATTTGCTGAGGGAGAACGGCTTCTGATCTCGGTGCCGGCTCTCTCCGGCAGGTCAGCGTTGGCACTCCACTTTCTCTCACCTCCCACGGTCTTTGGGCAGTGCCTGGGGTTTGTAGTGGTCATCTCCACAACTGCCCTTTTCGTGTCCAGAATCTCCAAGCGGTTGAGTTGTGATGCAGAGGAGAGGAATGTGTTTAGAGGCGTTTTGACATCATAAAAGGGATCTGGCTAATTTTCATGGTTTCTTAAAATTTGTACTTTTTGTAAAACTCAGAACAAAAGATCATTTAAATGAAGACAGCAGTGTTCTCAGTTGAACTTAAGATAAGGGTTTTGGCAGTTTGAGAATTGTACTTTGGACTGGGTGCAGAGCTAGTACTGCCAGGTGTCGCAGGTGAGATGTGTCACCCAGTTAAATTTGAATTTCGGGTAACTAACCCTTTTTTATGTGTAGACGTGTCCTGTGCAGTGAGTGCTCTGGATACACTACACTTTTAACAAGAGCGTTATCTGGGGCTTTTACAGTGAGAAATTATTTGGCATCTGTGCAGTCCAGGCTTTCTGCCAGACGCACTGTGTCTCTGGCAAACCTCAGCAGGGCCCACCATCGCCTCAGGTTCCTGTCGGCTTCAGTTGTTTGGGGTGCTTTTCCGCAGTGACCTCTCCCTCAGCCGCTCCTTTCACACATGCTCTCAGGCCCGGGTCACGCTGCATCTCCCCTCTTCTCCTTCTGCTTCTCTCTCCCTGTTTTTTGAAAGAGGACCGTGCTCTCAGCAGGGTCTCCGCGCGCAGAGACCCTGGTGTCCTGAACGTTGGCACGTGCGTGTCATGAAAGGCGCCTTTGCGTTTCTGTGGTCTGGGTGCTGAGTTGCAGGGCTTGGCGGGGAGTCTCTGAACAGTTGAGGCTGTGCCGTCTGGTGCGTCTGGTGGGTGCACCCGACCTGCGGAGGCTCAGGATGGGAGGAGTGATGTTACTTTTCTTGTCAGAGTGAGATGTGTTTTTCTGCCCCGGGACACCTGGATGTAGTGTTTTGCAGAAAACAAGAAATGCTGCTCTACCTTGGGAAAAGGTTTATAAAATTGCTGTGTTGGATGGAGGTCTTTAATTACAGCTCAGATGAGCCAGTTACATTTATCTGCTTCCCAATGCCGTGACTGCCTCCCTTGTGGTATTTGGGAGTCAGCCTGGGCACGTGCGTGTCTGTGTTTACCTTCGCGCTCTCGGTCGGCAGATGGCTGGCTGCTCTGTACCAGAAACCCATTCTCGGGACCACAGAGTGAGACCCTTCCCTATAAACCACCTGATTGCAGGGTGGGGGGCCAGGGCAGGGTGTAAACAGGAAAGTGTACGTGCGCTCATCGGGGCCGCCGGGCTGCGGCTGGTGGCAGCCCGGGCCTGTTGGTGTGACGTGCTCCTGTTCCCCCCACAGGTCATCACCAACCTGGTGAAGATGCTGAAGTCCAGAGACACAAGGAGGAGCTTCTGTCCCCCAAACCACTGGCTGTCGGAGCAAGAGGACATCCGAGCAGACAAGGTGTCACTACAGACCTGGGGCATTCTCTAGACCTGTGTTCTCAGCTTCGTCTGTCTGGGGAAAGAGTAGACCCTTCGTCATGGTTCATTACTTACTGCATGACTGAGTGGTAACAGTAAACTTGTACATTTCAACTCTTGGGTCACGTGACACAGTGCGATGCACGTGACACAGTGCGATGCATCCTGAATTTATTGATTTGATTTGATTTATTCTTTAAAGATTTTATTTATCTTTAGAGAAAGGGGAAGGGAGGGAGAGAGGGAAACATCAATGTGTGGTTGCCTCTTGCATGCCCCCTACTGGGACCTGGCCTGCAAACCCAGGTGTGTACCCTGACTGGGAATTGAACTGGTGACCCTCAGAGTCTGGCAGTCAGTCCACTGAGCTACACCACTCAGGGCCTGAGTTTATTCATTTTAATTTGGGCAAGGTGGCTGGTCCTAGGTCTGGGGAAACCGGACAGGATGGGTAGTGTGAGAGAGCCAGGGGCCACTGAGGGGTTCCAGCCAGACAACAGTGAACAGGTGCTGTGGGCCAGACCTCAGGTGGTGCTTAGGGGATGGGTTCATGAACCTCAAACGAGCAGGCGCTTCCCAGGCTGCTGAGGACCAACCCCACCGTTTCGCACGGGTTTGAAAGAAGTGGTGGGGAGTCCAGCCTGCCTTCCCTGTGTGAGCGCGTCTGCAGGCTGACCGAGTAGCAGATGACAGGAGGCCCTGCGAGGCGTCGGCTTCCCCCTGCTGATGGCAGCTGGAGCAGTCGCTGAGTTGGACGGGCTCTCAAGTGCAATTTGCAGGGCTGCGGGGAGACCCGTGCAGTGGCTATCTGGGGCCAGGACACAGGTTCCGCTGCACTCTGGCCACCTGGGTCCCCTGCGGGTATCATACGGTGGCCTGTTTGCTGGCACATGTTCTCCACTGCTGACCTGCAGCCACCTGGTGCTCTGGCCCAACTCCTCCCCAGGGTGGGTGAGTCCACGGGTGACTACAGGTGTGCAGGAAACGGAGCCGGTGGTGACACCACGAGGGGACCGCACCACAGACCCCAGGGGGCAGCAGAGCGAAGGAGTGTGGGAGTTGGAAGACTGTCCGCATGCACTGGGACACTGCATGGTGCAGGCAGACCAGTTGTTAGAAAGTCACAAGAAAGTGAATGTTGAGTATTACTAAGAAATTGTTAGCTTTTTAAGCAATATGTTTGCTTTGTAAAGCGCTTATCCCAAGGATGGTCACTGTGTCCCACATCGCACATCAGCACACAGGACACAGAGGCTTCCTGGGGGCGCCTCAGGGAGATCAGTCACACGGGGAGTGTGCTGGGCACAGACAGGGCGCCTGGAAGGGTCATGAGCTTGGGGAGGGGCCTGGCTGCCTGCAGAGAAGTGTAACTGTCCTCAGCATGTGGGGGCAGGTGAGCGTGGGCAGCTCGTGGGCAGCACTGAGCAGGGTTGCTGGTCCCGCAGGTCCCCCAGCTGTACGTGCCAGCCGCAAGACACGCGTGGAGGTTCCGGCGGATGGGGCGGATCGGCCCCCTGCAGTCCACCCTGGACGGTGAGCGTGCTCGGGCTGCAGGTCCACTGGGGTCACTCCCAGAGCTGTGTCCCTGGAGTTTACATGAAGTGCACCGGGCGCAGCGGGTTTGGGCTAGTCCCTGAGGCATGTGCGTGGGGGTCTGGGAGGGCAGGCGCACCTAACGCAGGTCTGTGTTGCAGTGGGTGTGGAGTCGCCGCCGCTGTCAGTGTCCGAGGAGCGGCAGCTGGCCGTCCTGACCGAGCTGCCCTTTGTGGTGCCGTTCGAGGAGCGGGTGAAGGTGGGCCTGGCTTTCTCTGAGGGGCACTGGGCGGCGGGGGGGGGGGCATCCCTCAGCATTGCCCAGGGCCCAGCCGGTCACCCTACCGCCTTGCCCGAGTGAGGCCGCAGTAGTTTAGCTGTGATCTGTACAGGTACGGTGGGTCCAGCCAGGTGGCTGCCAGTGTGACCTAGAAATATGTTCCCTTTAGTGGTAATTACTTAAAAGGCCTGTTACGCTGCAGTTTTCTGACAATGGGGTAGACATAAGGTGCTTTTTGCCTAGTAAGTTTTGCTTCATTTTTGAAAGTACAGTTTTTTTAAGATTTTTTTTTTTATGTTCCAGAGAGTGGGGAAGGGAGGGAGAAAGAAAGGGACAGAAACATTGATGTGTGGTTGTCTCATAAGTGCTCCTGTACTGACTGGGGACCTGACCCACAACCCAGGGCTATGCCCTGACTGGGAATCGAACCAGCGACCCTGTGGCTTACAAGCCAGCACTCAGTCCATTGAGCCACACCAGCCAGGGCTTGAAAGTACAGTTCTTTAAGAAAATATGTCTTTGTACATTGTGTTAAAGATATTTATACTTTATTTTTAAAGGTGCTTTATAAAAAAAAGATGGACAGGTATCTTAATTTGTTGCCTAATGGTTTTTGACTAATATACAGAACTTGTAATTTAAAGTGTTTTGTGTGTTCTCATCAACGGAGCAGATTTTTGTGGACCACGAGGCTCCGTTCTGAGGTCACAGCTGGAGAGGGTGTTCTCTGGGCCTGCGCTTCCCTTTCACAGGAAGAGCCAGGGAGTGAGCTCCTACAGCCTCTCAGGCTTCCTCCTGGAAAGAGCCCACCACACAGGGTCTCGCGCGGTCCCTGGGCGCCCTCTGCTGGAGTTCCAGCGTCAGAAAAACACTTGACGGGACCTGCATCATGTGGATGATGCTTGTCCTAAGGTGCATGTGTTCACACAGCTGAGAGGGCTGTTTCTTTTCTCCCCTCCAGCACCTGTGTTGTTTGTGTTTTTTTAACATATTTTATTTATTTATCTTTAGAGGGGAAGGGAAGGAGAGAGGGAGAGAAACATCAATGTATGGTTGCCTTTCATGCGTCCCCTGCTGGGAACCGGCCTGCAGGGAACCGGCCTGCAGGGAACCGGCCTGCAACCCCGGTATGTGCCCTGACTGAGAATCGAACCGTGGTTGTCTGGTTCACAGGCTCGCGCTCAATCCACTGAGCTACACCAGCCAGGGCTAGCACCTGCGTTTTATAAAGGGCTTACAGGAGGAAATGTGGGGAATTACTATAGGTTGGAGTTGTTCTTAATTTGCTGTAAAATGGGGAAGAGGAGCAGTGTTACAAATATATAAATGTTTGTAACAAAGTCTGTTGTGTTGAATAACCTTACTGCCCCCTGTTCTTTAGATCTTTCAGAGGCTGATCTATGCAGATAAGCAGGAAGTTCAAGGAGATGGTCCGTTTCTTGATGGGATCAATGTCACGATAAGGAGAAACTATATTTATGAAGATGCTTATGACAAGCTCTCCCCAGAAAATGGTACATGTCACCCTGTTTGTGGGGCTGGGGAGGTGTTTTAGGGCAAGCCGGTGGTTAAACAGTAAGTGGCCGTCACCCGTTCTGGAGTGACTTGTTAAAACTAAGAGCAGTGAGTCAGACTCAGGGTGCTTGTGTCATCAAATAAGGTTCCTGAAACCGACAAATCATTGCAGCACACACTTTTCAAATACCGAATTTTCTTAAGGCAAGAACCCCACCCCACCCCCGGGTGTGCCCCCCAGAGTCTGGTGTGAAACGGAACTGACAGCCTGTGACTCTGGCAGTGCAGCTACGTAGCTGCCTCCCTTCTGCAGGTCATGGAGGGCCGTCTGCTCACACAGATGCTGCAGGTCGTCAGCCACCTCAGAGGCACTAAAACAAACACCACTGCCCCCCAGATGCCCTCGTCCACTGGGCAGTATGTCTGGATGGCTGTGTGCTAGGTGGAAGGGACTGGAACTGTAGCGGTGGTCAGGACAGCGCTTCCCTGGTGTGGGAGGGCAGAGCTCTGGGAAGTGTGGCGGCTTCCCTCCCCTGGGGAGACTGTCCCGACCTGAGGACGCCCATGTGCTGCCCCCAGCACTACAGCTCACTGCAGCCCTTTCCACGGCGGCGGCATGACTGGGGTTTCATCTGCGTGGGGCCTATGGGGAGGGACCCCCTTTCCCCTGCCTGTCATAGGGTTGGGGTGGAGCCCCAGTGAGCCCCTGGTGTCCGTCTTTGAGCTGGGTGAAGGTGGCTGACCCGCACAAAGTCCCCTCCCAAGAGCCTCACTCCTCTTCGTGTTTGAGTGTCACCGCTGTTACAGGGCATGGTTTCTTCCGTTGTTTTCCTGTGGGAGCCGTGGGAGTGGGTGAGGCGGAAGTAGCGGTCCCCTTAGGCATCCTTACCTGGACCTCGCTGTGCGTGCAGATGGCCTCAGCACCTCCTAAGAGCTGGGGAGAGGCAAGGTCCTGGGGGCTGGGCTGCTCCTGAAGGCGCCCTGGGGCTGCTTCGTGGCACTGTTCCCGGGCCCCAGCCACAGCTCCAGTCTGGGGGAAGGATGACTTGGTGACTGGCCACTGAGGCTCAGGGACAGAGACTGCCCAGAAGACAGCGCTGCAGTGCGCATGTCAGGCCCTCCTAGAACTCTGGCTCGGGAGCAAGCTGCAGCCGGGTGGCTGGGGTTTCCGCAACCTCCCTGCCCCAGGGGCATGTGGGCTCCAATGCAGTTGGCTTGGCCCACTTGGCACGACTTTGGTCCCTGCTGGTGGGATGGGGGACCCACTCAGTACTGCTGTGCTCGACAGAGGAGGTCGCCATCCACACACAGACTGGGAGTGAGGCACAGTACAGACTGTTCACACAGGTTCTCTGACTTGGGAAGAGCCAACCCCCAAGGCAAAGCCCCTGGAGGACCCTGGTGGGAACGAGGAAGGACAGGTCACCCTTGCCCCCTGACTGAGCCTGGCCAGTGGGACCCGAGTGGGCCCGCTTGGCCCATGCTTGGTGCCGGGATGCTGGCAGCGGGGCGGAAGGCTGCCGTGATCGTGCAGGCTGTTGAGGACAGGTTTGTCCCACTCCGTGGCCCTGTCCACATGAGACCTGTTTGGGGTGCCTGCCCATCACCGTGGCACAGTCGATAACCCGGGAACATCGCCCTCTCCAGCCAAGGAGCAGTCTGAAATGGTGGTGAGGATTCTGGGGTCCACAGAATACGGGGTCCCCCATAGCATTCGCCTCGTTCAGAGGGTCTCCTTGCTGAAGTCTTCATTTGTTTGCCTTTCTGCCTTTTAATTCTGTTAATTCTGTGATCCAGGGTCACCCTATGTCCTTAATCCCACTCACTGCCCCTCCTGGTTCTAGTGTGCGTCGCCCTCGGGGAGGCGTGGTGACTGCTTCTCCCCGCCTCCCCATCCCATCTTCACACATGGATGCGGAGGGCCTCCTTGCCCATGGTGGGCTCTGGGGCGCTGGGCCAGCACCTCTGTCTGCCAGCTGTCCCCGCGCCCTGCACCCAAGTTCCTCAGCAAACACCGCTCCCGCCCCTCTGCTTACTGTGCTGCGTTCCTGTCTGCCTTCCCCCCCCAGAGCCTGACCTGAAGAAGCGCATCCGTGTCCACCTGCTCAACGCACACGGCCTGGATGAGGCCGGCATCGACGGCGGCGGCATCTTCCGGGAGTTTCTGAATGAGCTGCTGAAGTCGGGCTTCAACCCCAACCAGGGCTTCTTCAAGACCACGAACGAGGGGCTCCTGTACCCCAACCCTGCTGCGCAGATGCTCGTGGGAGACTCCTTCGCCAGACATTACTACTTCCTGGGCAGGATGCTCGGAAAGGTGATGGTGTCACACAGAGGTGGCCTTGGCCACGGGGGTGGGGGGGCATGGCGGGCTGTGTGTCTGCGCAGCTCCCCCCGCTTCCCTGAGGGCCTTTGTTCGGAATTGGGGGCCTGATTCTGATGAACCCTGGGGAGCACTTGCTGCTTCCTTGCCCCAGCTCACCCTTATGCTGATGCGCTGAGGCGGAAGGACGTGGGGCACAGTGGGATGTGCGCACCCGTGCTGGGTGCGGTTGGGTGGGAGGGGGCTGGTGAAGGCTGCTGTTGTGACATTTTTGTCGCAGCCGCAACGGCACACCTGCCAACTGACCACCTGTCAGACGAGCCTGCCCGTCACTGTAGACAGAGGGTGTCGCGTAACCTAGTGCACACTGCCCACTTCTGTCGGGCCCTCCAAACGCTGCCTCCCCTGAAGTCAGAGCAGGACGAGGGCGCCCCCAGGAGCCAGCCCCTCATCACCGAGCGGTGGGTCCTCGCTGTGGCGGCCCACTCAGGCTGCTGCAGCAGAGCACCCTGAGCCAAGGCTCACACACTGCAGGCGTCCTGTCTCACGGCTCCAGAGGCCACATGGCCGAGGCTGGGGTGCCTCGCATGTCACCTGGTGGCTCCGGGGGGGGGGGTGCTTTGGGGCCTCTTCCACAGGGTCCCCATCTGTGCCTGGCCCTCTACCCAAAGGCCTCCCCTCCTGACACCCTCACCCTGGGGGGAGGTTCACTATACGGATTTTGGGGAACATGGTCACTCAGACCTCAGCCAGCCTGTGGGGGTGCCATGGGTAGGGAACAGTGGGAGCCAGGCCTCACTGAAGTCATGGTGTCTGGCTGCCTCCCCGCAGGCCAGACTAGGCCCACAAAAACCAGTTGGGTTTGTTTATTTTCTTTTTAGTTGATTGCTGGCATTTTTGTAATGGGGAACTTTGTCTGCATCGTGGTACTTCTGATGTGTTTTTTTCTGTGTGTTGCTCCTTTTCACCTTGGACAGACTGGACGTTGATAGTTGCTAATGCTGGCGTGCCATGGTGGGAAGGCCCCCCAGGAGAGCAGAAGTGTGGAGCTCTGCCTGAGCTGCTGTGAACATGGCAGAGCGTCATCTCAGTCATCCCTGTGGGGAGTCAGCAACGAGAGATCCCTGGGCTGTCCTTGGATGTAGCGCCGTCCTGCTCACGGCAGCTGTCCAGGCATGGTGGACTGTGGGGCTGCACTAGGCAGCTGGGATCACAGGCTGCGGGGGGCAAGGGGCAGGGGGTGGGGTCACAGGGGGCCCCTGCTGGCTGGCCTCGCTGCTCGCCCTCCCTGCCCATGGCCCCCAGCAGCAGCTTCTGCCAGTGCCCGGCCAGTTCAGAAGACACTGCCTCCGTTGTCCTTGTCAGCCGGGAGGGTGCCGCTGCTGGCAGACGTCAGGTGGCCTCGCACAGGGCTCATGGCACTCCCCCGGGGAGGCCACTGTCAGGTACGCCCACGAGTCTTGGGCTGTGGTCCCGCAGTACAGGCAGGTCAGCGTTTGTCGAAGTGTCTCAGAGAGCACGAACAGGTGGGAACACGCATTCGTGCCCCCGTTGGAAGTGGCAGCACAGCAGCGCCCCTGCCTCGCATCTGCTCTGACTGTCCGTAGAGACAGGCGATCGTGACAGGAGCCATGATCAGCATGGCTTCTCAGGACCCCAGGGCCACAGATCACAGCTGCTGCCAGTTCACCCCGTGTTCAAGTGGAGAGGCTTCCCCGGGGCCAGCCCCCCCGGCCGCCCATGGCTGCTTCCCCCAATGGCAGCGTTGAGCAGAAGGGCCCGGCCCTCGGGCTTTCGAGTCCATGGCGAGAGGCTGGGTGTGCGTGCCTTGGGTCGTGGCTGAGGTGGCAGGCCTAGTGTAGTGTGACGAAGACTGTGGTACCGTGGGGACAGACGGGGGCCTAGTCCTCGGTGGTGGTGGCCTGGACTGCGGTCGTGTTGTGAAGCCAGGTGGAGGCAGGCTGAGCAGTGACCGCCCGAGCCTCCAAACCAGCAGGTGGGAAGGACCCTGGCGCCTCACCCCCTGCTAGCTTTCCCCTCCTTCTGGCCATTGCCAGCACCCTCGAAGCTGGGCAGGGTGTCTTTGTGCTTGAATTCACGTTTCCCTGGCGACTGACGGTGCTGAGTGTCTTTTCCTGGGCTTCCTGTCATCTCTAGGAGTGTCTGTTCAAGCCCACTGCCTGTTTCTTACAGTGAGTTGTTTGCCTTGAAGTTCTTTATTTATTCTAGTCGTGATCCTTCATCTCAGATACACGATTTGTGAACATTTTCTCCTGTTTTGTGGGTTGTATCTTACTTTTTTAATGGTGTCCATTGGATTGGAGCACTAGTTCTTATTTTTGGTGAATTCTGTATTTTTTTCTCGTTGCCTGTCCTTTTGTTGTCTTACCTAAAAAACCATCACCTGACCTAAGGTCCCGAAATAACTGCCCCTGTGTGTCCTAAGCACTTTGCCAGCCCAGCACTTACTTACAGGTGGTTCTGGGGTCCAGGCAGAGGAGAGCTGTGAGGACAGTGTAAGGTGAGCTCCCCTGCCTGTCTGCTGCCACGTATCAGCACCGCTCGCTCAGAACCAGCCGATCGTAACCCTGAGGGTGTCTTTCTGAACTCTCCACTTGTCCCCTAGGCTCCCGGCACCAGTGCGGCTCTGCTCTGACTGCCATGGCCTGTGCTGAGAGGGACAGGTGGTGGCAGGCCCCAGCCTGAGAGAGTGGGGACACGGTGTGGGGGGGGGGACTGTGCCCCTGCAGGTGGAGGTGGCACATGTCTTCAGGTCATTTTGGTGACAGTTCAGATGCTGGCCTGGTGGTGGGGGCCCCGACATGGGCAGCTGGTGGGCCACACTCTCCCTCCAACTCACTGAAGACGACACGTCTCTCCCTCACTGTCCATCAGGATGCATGTTTTCTGGCGCCTGGCATGGAGCCCTTTGAGGCTGGCCATGCCGTACTTCTTTCTGCAGGGCAAGTCCAGGAACTCGCTCAGTTAACAATAAGAATAACAGAAACAGCCTTGGCCGGTGTGGCTCAGTGGGTTGAATGCCTGCCTGTGAGCCAAAGGGTTGCCAATTCAGTTCCCAGTCAGGGCACATTCCTGGGTTGGAAAACAGAGAAGGACCACAGGAGCCTGGACAGGCCCGCAGACAGTGCTGCACCCAGTGCGGTGATGGGCAGCAGGGACAGGTGCTCCGGTAGCCGGGGTTTGGTGTTTCCAAATCATATTCCTTCCCTTCCTGAATGTGCAGACTGTGCAGTCTCAATGGCTGCAGAGGCAGAAGAGTTGGGTGCCCCTGGCCCTCTGAAGTCGAGGGAGCTTCTGGTCACGTGGGCTGGCAAGGAGCAGTGCCCCTTGGTGGGTGGTGGCTGCCTGTAGACTCAGGAGCAGGGGTGCCTCTCACCCCCTGGTTCTGTGCGTCCCATCACCCAGGGTCTGGGCAGGGCGCCTGAGGTCTGGTTTGTGCAAGTCCTGTCTCAGTGAAGCTGTTTGAAAGAACGGTGCTCAGACAAACCTGTGGGGACACCGCAGTCACCCGAGGATGGTGGCAGGCCCACGCGTTGCAGGCCCATGTGGCTTTCTGCAAGCGTCCCTCAGGTAGTGCTCGCTTCTGACACACCCTGATGACCGGCTGACCACAGACAGCTGCCCTTGTGCGGCTGGTCGGGCCGTCGGGGCTGAGGGAGTGTGAGACACAGCGCTGACGGCTGGGCCTGTGCACTGAAGCTCGAGGGGGCGAGACTGTGTGTTGATGGACGACGGTGTTTATTGGGTCGTAATGTATTTAAATCCCCCTAATGCATATGTTAGTGATTGTTTGCTGTGACAGAGTGCCGCCAGGCCCCGGGAGCAGTCCTGCCCGGGGAGAGTTCTCCGCACGCTGCACGCTCCCCAATTAGGAGTTCCATTAGCAGATGGCTCCTGTGGCCGGCGTGGCACTTACCGCCTGTAAATCAGGCCGCGCCGGGGTAAGTAAACAGCTCAAGGATGTGGTAATGTCATCTCCAGCGTTTTTATTCAGACAGAAGCACCTAGGCCCATTTAAGCCAATTAAGTGCAGAATATTTATTGAAGGAAATCTTTTATCATATTTGAATTCTACTTGAAAATGGCTCTTTTTTTCTCTTGCTTTAGAATATTGATTTAATTGGAACAGGATACCTATAAATCAGATTGTTCGATAAAACTTGGTCGTATATTTCAAATTTTAATTAGATTGTGAAACGCCCGGGTAGTTTATAATTTTGTATTTTAGTGTGCCCTTAATGTATCCTAGAGCGCAGTTAGCAGTTTGTCCTGAGAGTTCTGAGAGTTGGGGACAGATGATCGTCCGTGTCAGTAGAGTCCTTTTGTTAATGCTCACTGGGTTTGCTGGAGCTGTTTGACTCGAGGGAGGCGAACGCCAGTGATCTGAGTGGCCTTGGTCCTCAGGCGGCACAGCTTCCGCTCATCCAGTCTGGTTCTGACCCGCAGACCCGTGAGGGCGCTGGGACGGAGCGTCCTTGCCACCTGCCCTCAGACCAGGTGCTGCGACAGCTGGTGCATCTTGCCCTGAAGGCAAGTGACCCCCCGGCAAACAGCTGACCGTCCTGCACCAGCAGGAACCTCCTGGTGACCGGAGGCCATGTCGCTTGGACGCCAGCAGGTCTCTCTTGCATGCTTTCCGAGCCAGACCATGGGTGGTTCCTCCTGAGCTTGCTGTCACTGCCCGGCAGCATTTTTTGTAGCAGAAAAGCCAAAGGTCATTATTTACAAGCGTTGCTGTTTTGGGAGCTCACCCCTTCTGAGAATTGTGCCTGAGTTTATTATAGCTTCCTTGTAATCACGATTTATGTTTTTTCCTGTTAAAACAAAGCCATCACAGATTGGAAGATTATACTTTCTTGTCAGCCAAGATCATAGTTTTTTGTAGAAGTTTCTTTTTTTTTTTAAATATTTTATTTATTTTTTTTTTAGAGAGAGGGGAAGGGAGGAGAAAGAGAGGAAGAGAAACATCAATG